AGGGAGATGCTATGCAAAATTCATTGCGAAAGCTCAAAGGGTTCTCGAGATATCGTGTGGAAACGCGTTACAGACATACAGACGGACGGACACACCCAAATTAATATCCCCCACTTTTCTAGCGGGGGACAAAAATTGGCAAGCGTTAGTTATTTATGTTGGTGATTTTTGTTGTGTAATACGCGTAATATAAGGCAGCTACACATACGCATATTAGACCAGGGCACAAAAACTTTTCTCATAGTATCTTTTTCACTACAAGTACAATGATTGTGATTACAATACAGCCAACAAGGACGGCAATATAGCTCAATATTACAGCAGGTTTGGCCCACTTCTTGGCCAAGACATAGAGACCTTTCCTGTATGTCCTAATAGCTTTCCAGGCATATTTATTGGCAAAAGCCCCTATAGGGAAAAAGAATAAGACACTGATATACGACAAGCATAGAATCTGGTTAAAGGTTGTCCAGGGACGTGGGGTCAAATCACTCTCTGGGACTTTTCTCACAAGGTGGGGCAATGTCATTGTGTGTGGATTTTCTTTAGAGGCTTGAATTTCATAGCTTGTGATTTTTTGGTCTTTGCTTTTGGCGGCCTGATTTTGTTTTACAAGAGAGACGTTGATATGCTTTGGATCAGCTTGGCTCGACTGTGGCTCAGTTGGAGATTCATTTTCACGTCCCTCTTCTAATTCAACCTGTAAGTCATTTCCTTCTGTGGAATCCATTTTATAAACAGCCCTCAAAGATGTCACTGAAATTAATCTGTTAATTAAAGACGAAAAATTACAATGCATAATTAAACATACCCCAAAACATTGTTTTTTTTTTTATTATTATTCATATTGGGCACTGAATCAAAGTTTAACATAGGAATAAATATTAATGAATGACTATAAATATCGAAAAAATTCTTCTCAATAAGAACAAAGACAACATTCTTAGTCATATTAATCCTCAGAAAATCATGTTTGTTCAAACTGTGTCCCCCACCCCCATCCCAAAGGGGTTGAGTAAGGACACAATGGTAAATCAGTTTTACATAGAATACACGTTTACAGGAAATAATTATTATCAATCTTCTTTTTAAAAACAGCAAAGCTATGATAAGGGTAATTGATATGGATTTTTTTTCAGGTAATGTAGATTCAACTTAATTAATGTTAAATTCATTTATTATTTTTAATGACATTCTTTGCACGGATGTTAGTGTGAGGGGCCAAGGGGGATAATTTCTGTGAGAGAAAACCGGGGATAAAAACACGTATCTGAGCAGGCAACCATTTTACCCTTTCAAGTACAACCTTTGTCGATCACAGGGATCGAACTCGGATTGCAGCAATAAGAAACGAGTACGCAACCACTCCACTACCCGGTCACCCTATTGTGGTCCCGGCCTTCCTATCGTGTATGATGGAGCCACAGTAGGGAATCAAAGTGTTTCATAGGAATAAATGGACTTTTTTTTTTGAAATCTTTTGTCGGTAATAACAAAGCCATATTAGTCATATTGATATGGAAGTAATCTCAGATAGTGTAGATTAAAGTTTGTTCAAAACGTGACCCGCCACGTCGTGAGGTCACAAAGAATGTATATTTGAAAACATGGGGAGGGGCTAAAATCTTTTTCTCAGCAACTATAAAAAAACATGCTTATCATACATATATATTGACATGGAAGTATCTTAAGGTAAAAATAAATTTTCCTTTCTTCAGATTATGACACTGAACAGTAGTAGGGAAGGGTTTAAACGTCGAAGTATCTTGAGGTTTATTAATAATAGATTCCAGTTTCTTCAAATGACCAAAAGGTAATATTATAAGGAAATACTACATCTTTAATAAATACAAAACACCTGGGTTGGGTTACATCAAAACAGGAACCAAAGCTCTTCGTAGAAATACACATATCAAATGTATACAGAAAAGAAGAATTAAAATGCTTATGATGATTTCTCAGGTGGGCGTTGTGGCCTATGGGCCTCCTGTTGTAGTACAAATGTGCAGATGTAAATGCTGTCATTATATTATATATGCATAATCCTTGTTCATTCAAAGTAGGAGGAGCTTTAAATTTCCTTCAAAATAAGAAATTCTTCAAAATAAAAAATAAAGACCGAATGCCTACCTCCTTGTCCTGCACAGATCTATATTTGTGTACGTGCAGAATGCATTCCTTATATTAACCCGCTAAGTGGGAGGAGCATTTTTAAAAACACTCCTTCGAAAAATTCATTCAATATCTCTGGGTCCTTCTTTATTTATTTAAGTCAGTGACGTAATACGTCCTTGTTTGTACATATAAGTGCACAATGCATCCGTTATCATTAAGTAGATTTTTATAAATCGTTGTTTAAAATATCTATCCTGTATGACATCTACTTTCGTTGGACATTATGATTCTACATAAGGTTATCGACTAGATTTCTAAATCCTTTGAACCCGATGTAAATTAACCATCTAAACACATAGATAGCTGGTATTGAGATTTTTTAAAAAGTGGGAATAGGTAAAAGACACCAAAAATTCTACGGAAATGGGAAAGATTGACGATCAGTGTAAATATTAACAAGTCTTTAATTCCTTTATGAAATGTGGTGTAATTTCAACCATAGCTAGGCACTTGTTTCGGAAATAAATTTCTAACCCATAGTATAATAATATTATAATACTATGGGTTAAAATTTTATTTCCGAAACAGGTGTCTTTACCTCCCCTAGTAAATTCCAAATTTATGTCAATTATCTTGTACATTTTGCATTTACCTCCCCTAGTAAATTGAAAATTTACAACATGATAAATGCGTTAGAAAAAAAACAGGTTTAAGGACAAAGGGGAAGTGAAATTCAAAATTTTTGTCAATTATCTTATAAATTTGCATTTACCTCCCCTAGTAAATTGAAAATTTACATGAATTATAAATGGTTTCAAAAAAAACAGGTTCATAAGAAGACTACTTTAGGGAAAGTGACAAACGTAGAATTTTTGCATGACCCTTATAAATTCTGTTCCGCAATTCCTGAAAATACATGTATTATAGGGCGCACTTGTTTCATAACCCGGGTCAAGCCGGTTAATATTCCGGAAGCGGGCAAGTCACTTGTTTCAAATATTTTTAAGCCGCCGGGCGGTCAGAAAGGAGCCGGGATCGCCCAAAAAATTTTGAGCGGCCAAATGAAAAGCAATATGGCGAAAAACACGGAGGTAGAAATGTTCTTGATGGTGAAACATTTGCCGTATTCTCAGTGTCAATATACAGGCTGAGATAATAAGTGACTTTTACAACATGTTTGTTTATATTTGCACGACCAACATTTTTTTTTTTTAATTTTAAAGCTACCTTTCAGTTTTGTGTGTAACGAGGCCCTATGCTCCAAATTCACAGATTGTACATTGAATGGATCTAGTAAATATTAAAATGAAATATATTCACTAAATCGTTGTCCTCTTGCGTTCAGAGACACTTTTTTAAAGCAAAAGCTCCAATATCAGCCAATTCATTGATAAAAGGGAGATAATTTAGTGTGTGGTGATATAAGATTAAAGAGTATTGAGTTTTGAACCGGCTTACTTTTGTTTCGGAGCATTAACCGGGTCAATATGCCATGTGATAAAACAGGCTACAAATGTGCACATTGCTTTATTTCTTCCTCCCTATTTTACGCATGCGCAGAAAAGTTTGAAGTTACCATGGTTACCATCTTCTCAAGTACCTAAGAATGAACGTAGGTTGACCAAGAATTTTGATTCAATCTTTTTAAAAAAGTTGTTAGAACGTATTTCCTCGCATTTGAATGCTCCAGTTGAATTGAGCTAAAAATAAAGTCGCTTGACCTTGACATACACGGAAGGTACAACCTATATTTTCCGGCACTTATATTTTTGCAGTCTTTTCTTTTCTTACAAGACAATTTAGTTGACATACCTTCGCTATACTCATAACTTTCATAATTTTTTCAGCTGTAAAAGTACGTTTAGGGCCCATATGATATATATCAACGTCAGAACTGGCTATAATTATATACTTTATGAAATGTTTAATGAAATAAGATTTATAAACAAAGTAAAACAAAGTAAACAAAATAAAAAATAATAAATGGCTAATAGGAGATTCCTCTGACTGTTCCCTGCACATGTCATAACATATAAACAGCAGGGGTTAGAGTCATAGGAATCTCGGATTAATAAAAAGCCTGTCCATTTTATTGCCCCCCCCCCTCTTAAATGATTAGTATTTTTTTTTTCTTAAAATTTAGTATTAAAAATAACTGTCTGTAATTAGCTACATGTCTTTAATTTGCTATGATATGTGTGAACATCATTTGTTTGATATTCCGGAAATTAGTATTTCAAGCATTTCTACTTCATGTTTATATCACTTTTGTAAGCACTTCCTGTTTCTATTTTGAGGCTTTAGGGCAATATAAATTACAAGAAAGTAAACAACCGATTATAATCTGCGCGTTCACGCAAAAGGATAAATTTGAGGGAAAAGTGGATTGAGTGGTAATATTTGGTTGCTTTTATGTAGATTTTAAATGTATAGATTGGAGGTCAGTATTGATATGTTAAAAAGACATTATTCCAACATTTTCGCAGTTAAAAAATCATGACAAATTAATCTGGCCTAGTTCAAGGTACAGGCTATGTGTAATAACATCAAAAATCCCTGTGGGTGTTACTTATGGATAACCATGTATTTAAATTGTATAAACTTTGTGTTTTAATATTTTGAAATTAGAGATTATAGTTTATACCAAAGATGCATATAGTTGCCTATGAGTCAATGACTGTCACATGAATGTGCATAAATTAGTCAAAAAGGGAAAGTAGGAAATTTGGAACGGACATTGAATTAAAATAATTTGTATACAACGAATCCAATATTTTTTTATGATTGATGTGTATTGTTCTTAAGCTCTAACGTTTTGTTTTAAACATGTTAAACAACTACATGTATTGTCAAATTATTTTCATATTATAAATTACTGTTTCAGATATATCTCCAAGTTGAGTCTAAGTCTTTGAGGAGACAATGGCCTGCACAGCCAGGAATGACTCGATGGTTTTGGAGAGAGAACCTCTACAACTAAATCAAGAATCACCTGCGGAAACAAAACCCAATCACGATGAGGCAGAACAGGTAGAGTTATCTCTCCTGATAGAAAACCAGGCCCCTAAAAGCAATGGAAAAAATGTTACAAGTTACGCAATAGACCCTGCATACCACAACACCACTGAAAACCCATACAGAGAAACCACTGTGACAGTACCCCACCTCGTGAAAAAAGTCCCAGAAGATGATCTGACACCCCCACCCTGGAAAACCTTCAACCAGATTTTGATCATGTCATACGTCAGTGTATTTTTCTGTCTTTGTATTGGGGTTTTCGCCAATAGGGAGGCTTGGAAAGCTAAGATGTATAATGGGAAAGGTCTGTATGGCTTAGCCCAGAAGAGGGCCAAACGGGCAGTTATAATCAGCTACATCGCTGTAGGAGGGGGATTTATTATGATTTTACTAATTATACTTGCAGTGACAGGTGCTTTGTAAATCTCCTTTTATCCAGGATTATGGTTCACTCATTTTTTTAGTGTTATTTGTATATTGGTGCATAATTTATATTGTAGAGGCATACTTCAAAACTCGCATCCATTGGTAAAATCTTATGTTGTGTAAAGATTTACTCCAAACATTTCACATAATGTGGCATATTGTTACAAAACATATTTATTAAAATGTGAAAATGTGTTTGTTCAATTATGTAAATGAACAAAAACTTTGTTACAGTTAAAGTAGATTGAATTTTTTTTTTTTAATTTCTATACCTGAAATAGGATTCATCAACATATTTTTAGTTTTTCTGATAAAATAAGAAAAGATGCAGATTTACTACATTCTGTTCTGTGAAATTCGAAATTATTTAGATCTGAAGCAATCATTAAACCTAATTTATTTGTTGATAATACTCTTAAAAAGTAGACACAAAAAGGATCCCTTGAAAATTTTATCATCATTATATACTAAGAGTATTGTTAATATTAATAAAATCTTTTTTTTCGCTTTCATGTAAAACTTTATCTGATTGGTTTTAACCACAGTATTTCATACCCATGCAATGCCTGTGTATTTTTAAAAGCTTTTTATAATCTGCCTTACAAAATTAGTTATAGATTGAAAATATAACCATACTAGTCCTTTATTTTCACCTTCAGAGCTTGCCATTTTTTCATTGTTTTGATATACGTTTATAGAGTGAGTGAGATAAGATACACATGTATTACATGTACATCATGAGCAATGTTCTTTTATTTTATTCTTTTTGTTTCATTGCAATTTTAAAGTTATTTTGTGTAACAGACAGATTGTACATGCATGTACAAGAGTTTTAATGTCATAAAAAAAGAAATTTTTTTTTTATTCTTTGATTTGTTTATTTCTGTGAAGATTTTACTTCATTACATTACTTCATAACATTCCTTATTTATTATTTGAAATGTGTGTTTATAAAAGCAATTCTAAAAACCAGTACATGTTTTGTTTTTATAAATTCAGAATTATATGAATGGAAACTGTTTCTTACACTCTGATTCAGAAGTTCAAGTATATATTTACTCAAATTTGGACCCTGGTGTAGAAATGATAAACAAAAATTCTTGATTTCTCTGTTGGTAATACTGCTGAATATTGTTCTTTTTCATAATTTTTTTTTTAATTTCAAGGATTGGGAACTTTTTGTTTCATGTACTGGTACTTTTGATTTCATTTACTATTTTTTTTTAAATATTTTATTAATTTTTTATTAAAGCTTAAGAATACAATGGTACATTGGCAATACCAGTGGTAAAAAGACAATACACTATTAATAATTGTAACACACTAGATAAGTTTTTTTAATGCAAATTTTAACTTATCCACAAAACTGCTAGTATTTTAGACACAACATATTATTTCAAACTTTAAGATTTTTCTTCTTTTCACCAAGAGCTCATATTTCTATATCCACACATCATCTTTTACAGGTAATACTGTAAAGCACATTCATTATCTGGATAATTTTGTGCAATTTTGTTTTTGTAAACCCCGGTTTTTATAAAGTGCATTGTCTTTTATAAATTGATTTACTATTTCTATAAAGTTGATAAATACTTGGGATAACCAGAGCTGATTCTGATATATCAGTTTTTATTAAAAAATTGTTTGTGTCATATACATTGGTTAACTTGAATCACTTAATGTTTATAGATCTGACACAGAAGTTAGCACAAGGTAATAATTCCTACAATTTGATACATTATTGAATTGGTCATGTGCAGACACAGTGACCATTGTGAATTCTGTGCCCCCAGTCCATGTTTTGTACAGATATTTTAATTGATCTGTTACCATGAGAGATTGAACTACTAGTATTAGTTTTAATTCGTGTTAAATAAACTTTGTTTTAAAGATATGACTTAATCATTTGAGCAATTTTTTTTTTATCTCGATAGAAACTTGGGAGTAAGGTATAGAAAAGCCTCTTCCTGCATGTAAGCCTGTCAATTATTTCATTGTTTACTGGAAAGTAATGTATTGTGTAATATTTGAAAAGATTTTCTATTAAAGAAATACAATGTACATCCAAATACTTTAAAATTCTGTAATTTTATTACAAATACTACCCCTGCATTCTTAAGAAAATTGTGTATATTTGTATTTTTTCTCAATTCCTCCATGTGCTTTCATATTTCATTTTTCTTAGCATCCAAGATGAAGTAGATGCATTTAAAGGTTGTATTAATCACCTGTTCAAATGAATATAGTCTAATCCATTTGTTCATTTCATCTTCAAAGGCATGTACCTAATCACAAACACATAATCTCATACCTGATCTGTATTTATTATAATCTAAAAAATTTGCAGAAATATTGTATATTGTAATGTTGCATATTGAATGTTCACTTTAAACATTGATGTCAATTATTCAAATCCAGTCAGGATTATCATTTTTAAATCTTTTCCCATCTTTACATATGTTCCCCCCAGTGTAGGTGACACACTATGTACAAGTATAGTATACAGCCAGGGATGGATATTCAAGAATAGTGCAATTCTATATTACATTGTTAATATGTGCATGTACATTTTAGATCTAACTTTTATTGCGTATCATGTTTTCAAAATGGAAAACAAATTGATGTTATAGCCTTAACAATGTTGTACAAAATATGAACCATTACTCAATTCATTCAAATAAAACATTTTCCTTTTGATTTCTTTATTCTTTTATCTGCAAAGGTAATTATAAAGAACAATAGACAATGTTGATGAATTATCACCAAATACATCTGTGAATATAATGCATCTGTGCACAAGTTTGAATAGGAAATATCAGGAATATTTCTTTGAGTCAAAAATAAAAATCTGGGAAAAGAAAAGTCAAGGTTAAAGGAAAGGTTAATGTTGATGAAGTTGAAAATTTCTTCTAAATATATACATATATATCAGCATATGATGAAGTCCAATAAAAGAAATACATGTACTTGAATTTGTTTCATGCCAAATACCAAGAATTAAGGTCAAGGTAAAAAAAAATTTGATGCAGTTGAATAGCTCTTTCAGTATGTATCAGTATATTAGGGTGATATTCTTTAAAACTGACATTAATACCATTTTAAGATCAGGGGGTCAGGGTCAAGACAAGTTGATGAATAGCTTTCATTAACAAGTATCAGCATATGAAGCTTTATGAAATATGAATTTTGGTAGTTTCCTTGAAACCTACATGTAGCTAAACACAAATTTTAGTAGAGTAAGATCATGGCCAAAAGAAAGGCCAAGGCCAAAAATGTTGATGCACTTGAATAGCTTTAATATGATGTATCATATGAAATTTGATAAAATAGATATAACAGGTTCTTTTGAACATGACAAATGCCATATGCCCCGGCCATATTCATGGTGAGGCATAAAATCTTTGAAAACCTTCTCTAGAATAATAGTGCTTTGACAAGTGTCCTTAGATATTTTCTTGGAAAGCCCCCCCCCCCCCCCCAAATAAAAATCACATTATATTATTAAAAAGATATGCTGTTTATCAAACAGGAAAATCATGCCTTACAAGCAAGCAGCTAGCTCCATTTTTCTTCTGATTTACTTGGAACACTGTGAAATTTTTCTCTGTTTTAATTATTAGATACACATCGTAACTGTCTGTACATTTCAATAACACCCTTCTTTGTCATGGAAGAAAAAGAGGCACTAGGAATTTCATGGGATGGCAAAGTACCCTGAAATGAAAAATCAGTTATGTATGCCAGGCCTCAAAAACTGTGTAAGTGACTATGAAATGAATATAAAAAATAGGCATTATTATATAAATATTGCATGTACTTCGATGTAAATGATAAGACACTGACAAGTTTTTCAATCCTAATAAAACCATTGTCAACCGAGGTGCAGCTGAGGTTGACAATGGTTTTTGCTTTTCCTCATATATGGGGTGAAAATTTTCAATGTTGCACTATGTTCTCAACTACATGCAATATTTAATATATTATACTGAATTTTTTATACAAATACATATTACAGTGAACCGTGCACGCATAAATTCTGCGCAGTCGCTATTTTTTGGAATATCACCCGTCATCAAGCAATGTTGACTGTTGCTAAGCAGGAGGGCGTGGCTTCATTATTCAGCGGGTAATAGTGTTTTTTATCGAATGTTTCTCGACAAATCAGATTCAAGTAATTTACATGAAAGTATAATATAAAATACTATTGCCCTTGTACTGAATAATTTTTTTTCAAAGGAAACTGAACAGTTCGGTCCTTGACTGCAAAATCTTTATTTAAATCATAATTCCTCTGAACTTCTCAGGGTTAAAAAAAAGGGGATTCTCAAATCAATGGATGTCTTCTTCCAATTACATAATTATGCTTATAAAAACTAACCTTTTCACAGCCGGAAAATGTAAGTGTTATACTTGCACCCTTAGATGTACCATCCATGCCATAATGCGTGCAACTAGCTGGTGGCTCAATCTGGAAAATGTAGGTCAGATTCAGCATCCGAAGCAAGGTTCTTAAGGAGGCAAGTTTAGGGGGGGGAAACCTGCACCAAAAAGTTTTATATATTATACGGAAAAACCTTCAGTAAGCATTCTTTAGAGTTTCCATTACCTTCCATCAAATTTGGTCATTATATCCTTGAATTGGAAATGAAACCTGCACCAAAAACATTTTTCGGAAAAGTGCAATTGCCAGTATTTAATATATAAATGTACATGTATTTCATTATATGCTTAAATTGGAAATGAAACCTGCACCAAAAACTTTAACCTGATCAAGGAAAATGAAACAAAACAAAACTAGAGGTACTGTGAGCAATGGTCATTATCAGCTCACTAAATGAAACCTGCACCAAAAACTTTAACCTGCCTCCCAAAATGTCGATGTGTTGCTTTATATTGTTTTACGGTAATGTGCTCATAGAGAAATGAAACCTGCACCAAAAACTGCACCAAAAATGTTAACCTGCACCAAAAACATTAACCTGGTCATTCCTTTGCTGAAATTGCAGCATCTGAAACGTTGACTGGTACAATGAAACACAAAAACATCTTCCATGCATGTCTAATCAATATAGGACATTTTGAAAACTGCACCAAAAAACTTAACCTTACGTGTTGAATAAAAATTGAGGTAAAATAGGAGGTGCACAATGGGCAATTATATAATTATGCTTATATAAGCTGAACCAAGACAGCTGGGAAGTGTTATACTTCCCTCTCCTGATCATTCCTAAATGTGTGCAACTAGCTTGTGACTTAGCTGTTAAGATTCAAGGTTCTTAAGGAGGGGGAGGGGGGTTGAGGAAAAAGTTATTATTATATATTATACAACCTTCAGTAAGCATTCTTTAGAGTTTCCATTCTTCTTTTCTGCATCCTTGAATTTAAAGAAAAAGACATTTTTCAGTGCAATTGCCAGTATTTAATATATAAGTGTACATGTATTTCATGCTTACATTAGTATGATTAGGTATGGAACAAAACAAAAATATTTTCTGTAGCTTAAAATTGGGAAAATTGTAAAGCAAGCTCATTGAAAAGCTCCTTCTTCACATTTTGCTTGAAACTTTTAAAATGCAGCCAGGTGTATTAATGTCTTTGAACAGAGGATGCCTGCATCATGTTTTCTTGCCAGTTCTTACAGTAAAACAGGTTTATAGCAAACATGATTAAAATGAATTGACACCTAAAGCAAAGTTTTTTTTTATTCCCATTAAAACTATATTACACTTATAGCAAAGCAAAATTGTCCATCTTTGATGCTTTTTTATAAGCATGTTTGACTGCATTTGATTTAAAACTTGTTTTATACAAACATTACTTATCACCTATATAAACACACACACACTCCCTCACATACATACCTGTAAACGTCTGGAGACAGCTTCCCTGACTGCTGCCGCTAAAGTGATCCGTCTTGTAGAGATGCTGATTTTAAGTGACGGCCTGTCTACCCCAGTGTCCAGAATCTCCACAGATAGCCTCACCAGCTCTCCTGAGGGGTCCACTAATCTCACTTCCTGGTTCAAAACATCTACTTGGTGTTGACAAGGTTGTGTTAAAAACCTCAAAACAGCATCCATACCTTGAAAAGATAAAACAATCTTTTGTTAACTGTTTTAATTTTTGATTGTTTGATTTACTGTCTTCTCAAAATAAACATTAAGTTTTGTCTCACTTTTTTCATGTCAAGTGTTATTAAAGGTTCTGGGTGACTTTTAATCAGAGTAGAAATACCTTGGCCATGAGCTGAGATTTCAGGAATTTTCAGTAGAGAGTCAGGTATAAGTAGATGAACTTCAGACAACTGGTCTTCCTCCATCTTCGCTGGACATTTGGTTTGCATTGTACTTGCTGCAGGGCGACTTAATGCCATCTCCCAAATTGAAGCATGCAACGTTAACCTTGTCTGGCAAGTTTTCTGATAAAGACATTTTTCATCATTAAGAAAATTGAAGATGTCAAGTATTTCTTGATGAATTAAGATGGATAACAGTGAGCTACTTTTCTCTTCTGGTAAATTTTCAAGGTCATTTGGAAAATGAAGACAAAGAGTTACAGTAACATTGTAATGATTGTTTGTGTTTTGAGATGGCAGATTAACTTGAATGAGAACACTATCACTGTTTCTAACACCTCTGTCTACGCGTTCATTTGCAGATGTTGTTTGATTTGGATTAGACTGATGAACATTCACAAGCAAACTCCAGTCACATGACAACTTTAAGCCACTCTGATTGGTCACTTTACAAGATAAAAAGAAATCGGTACCCCTCACTTGCTGCAGTACCACACACTCACACTTTAATAAAGCTTTGTCCCTTACAAGATGTGAGGCTAAGTTTAATTGTGAGATGAACTCCTGCTGTCTTTCTTCTTTGGTGATTAGCCCCTGGGTTTGGAGGTGACAGTTCTCAATAGCAGTGAGGAGTTCCTTGATATGCTGACCCTGTTTTGTTGCTCTATTGACGGTGGTTTGTTTTAATCGTGAGTTGACATCTATCACAGACACTCTTCCTAATTTTGTTCTGCATAATATGTGAGTAGCAATCTCTGCAGAAAAAAATTAATAAAACATTAAAAATGCAAATAACTTTACACTTTAAAAACATGCATGACAGTGTATCAGGTGTTTTACCTTTTAGAATTCATTTACAAATGCATATACTAGCTTGAACAAGAGATGAGAATGATACAAGATCAATTTGTGTTGTATTTGTTCTATCACTTCTCTCAATCTGACATTCACCTTGATCATGTTGATAACTAAAATTTGAAATCCTTATTTAAGCTTTGTTTAAAACAATCAATTACCATCATGATTATTAAAAGTTGAGGAGCTAGCATATGATTATGAAAATTATAAAATGTTTTAAAATTAAAATTTTATCTAAAATTTATATTTACATAAGTAAGAAATTTCATGAAGAATTTACAGTTTAGTGCTCAATCCCCCAAAGATGCAAAATGTGAAAACTTCAGGATGAATTTCTTGATAAGATACACTGTATATGCACATGTACCTTCGACAGCAGTGAAATCAGGTACACAATGAATCTCCTTTGCACAAGCAAATTTCAAGCTCAACAAATTTTGGACTTCCACTTCACACTTGTCATTATCATCAGAGAACATAACATCAGTTACAAAGAGATCTTCGCCACTGCTGATGTACATCTTACATCCAGTAATCCTAAAATCTACAACTGAACTAGGAACAGTAAAGGGAGCAAAGGCTGCTCCAAATTTTTCACTGTGTGTCAGAACAGCACAATCCCCATTTGAGGAGCACATAACAAGACAGTTGATCACCTTTTGGTCTACACGAGCATCAGAATCTGGTGTGTTCTTTTCTCTGAAAGTCAAGTTACCTGATTGAATTCTTACTACAGGTTTACTGGTTGGGTATAAGAGTAAGAAAGGCGAGAGCTGTGAGGATAAAATGTTACTCTTCATGGGACTGTAATACACTGATCCTTCTGCTAATGTAAGGAGTAAAATTGGGGAATTGCACAGTGGTACTACCTCACCACAAATACTTTTAAAAAGTTCACATGATATATATAGAGTAGAACTACTTTTCCTTCTATCTGAACCATTAATCAAATCACATGTCAAAATAAACAGCTTACAGCTGGAGTTCTTCATGTGGACTGGAAATTCCAGTACGTTTTCAGTGAGAGGCTCAGCCAAGCTATGACTTAGTTCACTCGGGTATGAGTGCACTTTTACACAGTTATCATCCTTGGTGACTGTGAAGATGAATCCCATAGACTGACAGACATCTAGAACTGGACACCTCAGGGATAGAATGATGTGAGATGATGTTAGAGTATAAACAAAAGTATCAGGGGTGACAGCAGTGGGTCCCTCAGTAGCTTCACAAACTGGAGAGGAGGAATCTAGCAGGTCAGTAAAGATTTGCTGGTTCTCTAAAGAAGTCTGGAAACTGAAAAACAGTGGATTAAGTCAAAGTGCTGATATCATCAGAAGATGTATTCATTTTATATGTATGTATTTTTCATATCATTTCTTTTACTTCATCATAGCTTTACATTGATTTCGTTTAAGTTTTATTAATGAAAGACAATATCAAAAATATTATATTTGTATCTGAAATGAATTTCACTCTCCTAATGTTGAGCCCTTTTCTAAAAAAAAAAAAAAAAGAAAGAAATATAGAAACACATAGGGCTTTTTAAAAATTATTCAAAAGTCTTGACTTACTTGGCCTGTGCTTTTTCATACTGTGTCTTGAACTCTGAAAGATTTGTTCTATAAATTTGTCCAGTGACTGACCCCAGAAGTAAGATCCACCCACCTGCTTCAGAGTCATTGATTGGTGTTATTGAGAAGCTTTTTACTTTATTTGGTATCCGAACAATGGCCTGAAATTGTCAAAAAAAAGTATTGACAATGTAATTGAGTAAAAAGATCATATATTGTAATGCACAAACAACTTTCCGTTAATTGGCCTATTCAAGAATAATAGTGATGCCTGAAGGACTCTCCTCATGTTGCAGGTCCAGTACAATCACTAGATTTAGCTGTGTAGGTAGAATTACCCATGTAGCTTTATTTACCCACCTCAGGTAGCTTTATTTAGCTATTTTATTGCAACTTTTCAAAATTTTTCTTCTTATAAAAAAGAGTTAAAAAATTGCAAGTAAATGACTATTAGCAGGTCCAACACAATACCCTGATAAAGGTATATAGCTTGATAAAGCTAGCTTTAGCTTTATCAAGGTATTACAAATACCTTGATCAAGGAATTTTATGTTATGAAAATACAAAAAAAAATTCTAAAAAAAAAAATTGATACTGAAAGTCGAGCTCTGAATTGTTGTCAGTAAATTCACTAATGCATGTAAAGTACTCAAACACAAAGAAATCAGTATAAAAGAATGTCGTGTGAGGAGACATTCTTTTATGCTGTCTTTTTGATACCCGAGTACTTTTCTTGCACTAGTGGACACACTGACCACACTTCATAATTCAACTTTTAAATTTAATTTTTTCAGAAATTTTTTTGTATTTTCATTCTATAAAATACCTTGATCAAGGTATTTGTAATACCTTGATAAAGCTATGTAGCATTATCAAGTTTATATACCTTTGTCAGAGTATTGTGCTGGACCTGATTAATATTTATACTAAGGAGTTTATAAAAAACAATCCAAAGCAGAGATAGTTTATACATTGCTGCGCTTGGACAATTTAGAGCAAAACACGTAATTCCATTGTTTGGGTAACTGCAATCTAATTGAAATTAGATGTTAGATACTCTCGCATACTCCTTACACTAGCATCTAACAACATCCCTTAGAGGGTCACGTCAGAGGTCAAATTCTATCAACCAATCAAATCATCACCTGCAAAATCATCGTATATTTGTTGACATAATCCAAGCGAATAAGTCTAGAATTGTTCCAAATTTGACCTCTGACATGACCCTCTATGGGATGTTGTTAGATGTTAATGTAGCGAGTATGCGAGCGGACGTAACATCTAATTTTAATTAGATTGGGGTAACTGTCCCCTCTATTGTGTGTGGTGAGGCATGGCTGAGTATGATTACTTCACATTGTGCTGAATAATTACCAACCTATTATCATGTTAACAAGAACTCAACTCTTATGTCATTTCTTTCAAGGAGTAACTGTTTTAACTGTCATACATAGCCCAAAAACTTTCAGAATTTTGATTGCAATTGCGCAGAACATTTCTTCAAGAGTGATTTTTTCATGAATTGTTTTCAGATGAGTTCAAAGTTGAAAAGGACCACAGCATCAAAATGATATTTTCTGCACATCCTGAGAAAAATGCCTTTTATAGAAATAAATTGATTTGGTAGCTAAATAAAGCTACATCAGGTAGGTAAATAAAGCTAAGTAGGTAAATCAAGCAACGTACATGTAGCTAAATTTAGTGATTGTACCAGACCTGTGTTGTTAGCTGATTGTCATCCATAGATAACAGAGTATCTCTGTTGTAAATAAAACTGTAAACATATTTTCAGTTGATTAGTTTAATTAAAAAGACCTTACCTCTAATGCTACGTTTCTGTATATATTAACATTTGTAGGTATACAGGAATGAAAGGCTGCAATTGATGATTGAGACATTGAGATAACTTCCGAATTTCCCGCAAAATAATACGACTTCCGGGAGATTATTTTCTTTCGTCGTACGTAAAGTGTTTCATGGTACGTTCGATTTACACACATAGGCAGTAAACCTAAATAAAAGCATTATGGTCCGAGTAACACTTAACAATATTAAATTCCAATATACCAAATCAGTTTGAGTTTTTGAAATTTAGATATTTGAACTGATATATTAACATTCTAAAACTCAAAATCATTTTAGAAATTTGAATTGTTAAGTGTCCTTTTCCTAACTTTTTTGGCAAACTAAATGATTATGGTTATGCTTTATTCTACAAGACAAGAATATACCGTTACAAGATTTTGTTGTGCATAGAGGAGGAGGATCAGACTTTTAAGATTTAAGAATGCCTATAGCATACAGGTGAAATATAAATTGTAAGGCAAATGAGATGAGGGAAGAGCTGACAGTCATAATTATTGTTGGATATGGCAATGCTTATTATAATCATGGATCCTTGCTTTAGAAACTAGTCTAATAAAGTACAATCATATCATATGGATGAAGGTAGGTGTGAGACAACTCCTGCATGTCAGAGCGTTCATGGACGATATAGAAGTAAACACAGAGACCATGATTGTAGGGGGATTTAGGATACCATCAGTTGCGCCCGTTTGAATACCGAACCAAAGAAGTATAACAGCTTTGTGTTGAAGAAGAGAAAAGTGAGTAGAAAGTTCAAAGTAGGAGCTAGAAGAGTTTCAACAGTCACAGAAAAACCGGTCAAATGCTTGAGATTTTTTTGATGACGCTCTCAACTATACAGAATGTGAGTGAAATAAATACCAGTACCAGTACACAATTGGATAACTAGGTGAACACCGTAAGGACAATTTCAAATTGCCTTGTCAGGGAAAAGCAAGAAGTAGATATACCAGTACGTGCACGAGGTCTAGGACTTTACTTGTTTACGACGTGTCTTGGATAACGATCAATATATGTAACAAATGATCAGTGGTTACCTTAAAAGAGAGCTGGCAGTTCCTAGAAGCTTCAATTGTGCCGGATATGTCATATTGTAAATGTTGATTTACTGGGTGGCAGTAAATAAAAAAAATATACTAGTCACTTGTACATTTTGTATTTACTGTCATCCGGTAAATTCAATATTTATAACATGACAGTTTTACAGCAAGGAAGGCGATTGCAAGCTACAATTAACTTTGGCATCAATCATACTGGAATTTAAGTCATCAAGGTCAGGCAGTTCCTGATGTTGCGAGGCATGGATTCAAAGGTTTCAAGGTACGAGAGGCAATTTAAGTGAACATTAAGACTAGCAGAAAGTGACCAGAAGAAAACAATGCAAGAGAAGCAGTATCACGCCTGAGGCACAGTATCTAGGGAAGTGTAACAAAAGACAGCCAAGAACTAGGTATAACAACAAAATTAACAGAAAGCTGAGGTGCTTGGGATGACTCAGACCGCAGTATTGTACTACTGCAGACCTATTTTTTATTCATATGAAGCAGAATTTGTCCAAAATTCTGTAGGTGAAAAGTAGAAAGTACTTGCTGTGGCCTTCAACTCGACATTAAGATATATCGACGACGTATTGTCAATTAACAATGGGAAATTTTCATTCTTATATCAAAGCGATATATCCTGGTGAAATTGAGATAAAAGATAAGTTAAACACAGAGTTTGACAGATCTAGCTATTTCATATTTTGATATTTTACTCGAAAAAGACATTAGTTGTAGTCTAACAACCAAGCTCTATGATAAACTTTTCAATCGACAACTTCCCTTACTTATGCAGCAATATACCATTATCACCTGCATACCGAGTTTATATATCTCAGCAGATTCGCAAGAGCATACTCTACGTATGAACAATTTCGAAAACAAGGTAAATTATTGACAAACAAGTTGGTGAAACAAGAATATCAGCAGTCTCATTTAAAGTAAAAATTTTGTAGGTTCTATAGTCGATACAATGACCTTGTCAGCCAATACAATTTATCATTGAGTCAATTCCTGACTGAAGTTTTTTTATACTGATTGTTAATCGATTATTAATACACTGAATTGACATCGAATTTTCCCGTTAATTCCCGATCATGACAAGGAGCACACAGCGGGTAGGGGATGTTCACTCCGTCATGGCACCTAATCCCACTTTTGATGTTTTGGAGGTCCGTGTTTGCACTGCTTCGATTTTGTATTGTTTTATTAGACTTTTAAATACTGTTCTTTATTTCCAATTGTTTCATGTAGATTAGCCAAACCGGAATATTTCATCAATTTCAGTTGTTTTGAAAGCTGGAAGATAAACATTAAAAAATGACAAGACTCGGTCTAGACCTTCTTTGAGATTTACTGGAAAAGAAGAAAGGAGAAACAATAAAAGAAGAAAAGGAAGCTCGAAGTTTGTCAACTTTGTAAAAGCTGGCGAGCAGAATCCTGTTGGTGGAGTAGATGAAGTTCTAGATGAACAGTTGGAATCGCTAGAACTTAATTGACAGTTACAAACATATCGTAATGGTCATAAGTAATTTCCACCGCAAATAGCAGCTACCAATCAGAGATTTGATACTGTTATACGGTCTCCATCTTCTAGGTTATTCCGCGGGAGCCTATAATATACAGTGCCGATGGAGAGAGAACAAAAGAATTCCACTAGCGGAAGCGTAGCAAGTACCAGGGTTTGGCTGCAGATAATAGCAGCGAGAATGGAGAGTGTGGTTTCCTCCAGTGGAAATGGAATGCCAAGTATTGTGGAGGGAATTGCGGGTCATAGAAATTCTAATAACTGAAACTGCATGAGAGACGATAACTTGTCGGATGTCAGGATTGGATTGCAATCTATTGGAATTCCCATGGGTACCAATTGCGCTCAGTTATTGACAGACCTTTTTTTGCATTCATATGTAGCAGAATTTGTGAAAAATCTTATGCTGTGGCCTTCACCTCAACATTAAGATATATCGACGACGTATTGTCAATTAACAATGGTAATTTCCATTCCTATGCCGATACAATATATAATGGGGAGCTTGAGATAAAAGATACAACAGATTCTGACACATCTGCTTCATACTTGGATATTTTACTTGAAAAAGACGTTAATGGTAATCTAACAACCAAGCTCTATGATATACATGAGGACTTTCACTTTTCTATCGTCAGCTTCCCTTACTTATGCAGCAACATACCTTCATCACCTGCATACGGTGTTTATATATCTCACTTGATTCATGCTCTACGTATGAACATTTTCTAAACCAAGGTAAGTTATTGACATACATGTTGATGAAACAAGAATATCAGCAGTCTCAGCGTTTAAATTCATCATTTCGTAAGTTCTTTGGTCGATACAATGACCTTGTCAACAAATACAATTTATCATTGAGTCAAATGCTGACTGACTTTTTTCATTCTAATTGTTAATCCATTATTTGCCGGTATACATTGAATTGACGACGTATTTCCACGTTATTTCCCGATCATGACAAGGAGCACACGGCGTATATGACCGGTTGGCAGGGGATGCTCACTCCTCCATGGCACCTGATCCCACCTCTGATGTTTTGGAGGCCCGTGTTTGCTCTGCTCCTATTTTGTATTGTTTTATGGATTTTCGATCTTGAATACAGTTCGTTATCTCCATATGTTTCATGTATGACTTGTGGCGATATTCCATGAGAGAACTAATACCATCAATCAAATGATATACACATCTGTAAAATCACATATCTTAGAGGGGTACCATTTTTTGTGGCTTGAGGTTCATGGGGATTTGATTTTGTGGTTAAAGAATTGTTCAGTATAGTTATATGTGTGAAAAATTGCAAATTCGTGGGTCTCCTCATTCCACGAAAGAACGAAAATAATACCCCCAGGAAAATTAGTGATTTCACAGTAATTTAGCTGCATAAAAATACAGTCAATCAACTCTTGAAGAAAAAATATTACCAGAACCATTTACCCAATTAATCATTCTGACTATTTTAATGAAGAAGTCAATCTTGCTTTTCATTAATAAACAATGCACTTAGTAATTGTTTGCTAACATTAAGCATATATGCCTAGTATATACATCTTGATGGAATACAATATATCATGGACCCGGCATCAGGTGGATCTCATTCACAGGTTGATTTGGCGCTGTCCACAACAATCTCAAGAGTTGCGGCAACTGGAATGATCCTGTTCCAGCCCGAGCCACTTTGCTCTCCGACCTTGTTCATGAAAACTCTGCAGAAACACTCTGTACACATGTACCCATACAAAAAATTTGTTGCACTTTCCGCTGTTCTTCACGCTTCTTCTATACAGACATGGATTCAATTTTGCATGAAGAATATGGAGATAACGAATAGTATTCAATATCAAAGTCCATAAAATGATACAAAACAGGAGCAGAGCAAATACGGGCCTCCAAAACAACAGAGGTGGGATCAGTTGCCATGGACGAGTGAGCATCACCTGCCGACCGGTCATACCCGCTGTGTGCTCCTTGTCTTGATCGGGAAATAACGAGAAAATACGTCGTCAATTCAGTGCATAAATAATGGACTAACGATTACTAGTAGTATGAAAACCGTCAGTTAGCATTTGACTCAGTGATAAGTTTTTATTTGCTGACAAGGTGAGGGCATTGACCACAGAACTTACGGAATGATGATTTTGAACGAGACTGTTGATATTCTTGTTTCATCAACTTGTTTGTCAATAATTTACCTCGTTTTAGAAATTGTTCATACATGTACGTAGAGCATGCTCTTGCGTATCGAATCAACTGACACAGAGATGTAAAAAATCCATATGCAGGTAATGAAGGTGTATAAAAATGCTGCATAAGTAAGGGAAATTGACAATAGAAAAGTTAAGTCAGCACGTTTATCATAGAGCTTGGTTGTTATATTACCATTAACGTTTTTTTTTTCAGGTAAAATATGAAACAGCTGTAGATCTGCCAGACTCTGTGGTATCTTTTTATCTCAAGCTCACCAGCATATATTGTATCAACATGAGAATGGAAATTGCAATTGTTAATTGACAATACGACGGCGATTTATCTAAATGTCGAGTTGAAGGCCACAGTAAGTGCTTTCTTCTTTCACACATAAGATTTTAAACATGAATCTCACCACATGTACATTAATGAACAAAACAAGATGTGTTTGTGAAACACCGGTGCACCTGTATAGCAACATAGCGAAGATTAAAGTTTTTATTAATTGCAAATTATTTAATTTATTGATACCCAAAGTAGGGTATTCTAAGTGGAAATACAGTTGTGAAATATGACAGGAGGCCAAGGTTTTTTCCAAGGTCAAGGTCAAAGGGTCAAAACGTTTTGGTATCCAATGAAGGGTCTTCTCACAAGGATTACATACGTGAAGTATGAATGCACTTGCCCTTACCGTTCAAAAGTTATGGTCAAGGTTAAAGTTTTTTCATAAGTACAGAAATCTCCAAGGTTTAGGTCAAAAGGTCAAGGTAATTGCATGGTATCCAATTAAAGGTCTTGCTACAAAAAATACCTTTGTGGAGTATTAAAGCCCTAGCCTTAACCGTTCAAAAGTTATGCTCAAGGTTAAAAATTTTAATAAGTAGGTCAAACTCCAAGGTCAGAGTTCTTGATATGCAATTAAAGGTCTTGTCACAAGGAATAAAAAAATATGTTAAGTATGAAAGCACTAGCTCTAACCCTTAAGTTATGGTCAAGATTTGTTTTTAAAAGTAGGTCAAATTCCAAGGTCAAAGGGTCAAAGTTATTGGTATCTGATGAAGGGTCTAGCTTCTCACAAGGATTACATATGTAAAGTATGAATGCACTAGCCCTTACCGTTCAAACGTTATATGGCCAAGGTTACAGTTTTTTCATAATTACGGAAATCTCAAAGTTCAAGGTAAAAAGGTCAAAGTTGTTTGTATCTAATAAAAGGTCTTTCCACAAAAAAGATGAAGTAAAAACGTCCTGGTATCTATTGTTCAAAAGATATGGCCTAAGAAAAACTTTGGAATTTTTGTGAAAAAGTGGGTCAAATTCCAAGGTCAAGGTCAAAGGTCAAATTTGGTGGTAGCCAAAGAAAGGTCTTGTCACAAGGAATAGACATATGAAATATGAAAGTCATAGCTCCACTAAATCAAAAGATATAAATGGACAAGGTTAAAGTTTTTGCACACAAACAGACAGACAGAGAGACAGCTAGACAAATGGAAGGACACGATAAAAACTAATACTCCAAAACTTCGTTTACGGGGGCATAAAAGGAAACAAAATAATCTGCATACATTATTGCACCCACTTTATATTTATATATAAATAGGTCAAAATTTAGAATTTTGCCAGAAATCGATTGGATATGTGCACCGAATGGGATAGAAACGTGCACAGACCATCGGTAAAGTATTCTTTAGATGTATTATGTGTAATATAACTTTATTCATGATACATGTGATACTACTTTCGATTTCGTATGTCACAAAGCCTTGTTAGTTTAAATGCGCATTGGAATATATTTTTATTGCAACTAACACATTCTTGTATATGATTTGTTATTGTCTGCACACGGGCGTGGCCATGTTTAAGTTGGTTTTAATTGTTTGACAGCATTTGTGTAAAAAAGAAAAATAAAGGTAGGTAATATACCGTATTTACACATGTGTTCAGCTGTTGATAATGCCTGTGACTGACCGGTCATCTAGTCTCGTTCAACCAGACGCTCGGCTGTCTCCGTAAACTCCGACCAGCAGAGATGGTCGGAGATTTACGGAGACAGCCGAGCGTCTGGTTGAATGAGACTACCGGTCATCATAAAAACATCCAAATTCTACGAAGGGGTGTAAGTGACATAAAAGAGAGATTATATATATATATATATAGTCATGACATAGTGTGTGCACAACATTTTGAATTTCTAAATAATTACATCTTGGAAATCATTAAAGTACTTTAAAATGAATTGTGAAGACAAGCACTAGCTAGTCATTCTCAAAAATCCATTTACCGATACATGATAAAATTTACATGATTTAAGGGGGATGTACAAGCCATATTGGATCTAGTCTGGTGTAAACTAAGAAATACCAAGAATGCGCTAAATACTCTACTAAACTAGCTCAAAGTTACCCAAAGTGCTAATGCACTAATTATCTACTGTTAGAGACCAAAATTAGTAAACAATTAAGTTTATTTTGTCTTAATTAGAAGAAAATTAATCATGTTAGAACTGCGCAGCTACAGCATTCATGAGATGAAAAATGCATTGAAAATGGAGTTAGTTTGATTCATTGATAATATGGCTACAACCATTTGTTTCGTTTTTTTCTTGTCATTATCCATAATTCTTGAAAATTTGATTTTTCATATGTGTGTCTTCCTGAGGCCATGTGTTTATTTCGTCCGCCATTCCTCTGTCACAAAGAGTTCGAATAACAATGATTTTAGAATAAATGCGACCATAATAACACCAAGACAAGAAATTACTAAGTAATAATCATTAGGTTATATTACTTACTACTTTTATTTGTTGCATCGCATCGTCTGATTAATGAAAAAACGCGATTTTAACCTCACTCCAGCAAATCGGGAAAAACTTTTCTGTTTACAACTCGAAATTCCTCGCTAAAATTATTCCGCTAAGCACATGGTTGGCATGTGCATATATCTGCTGTGGATAAATCCGTTTATTACCATGATTATATTTAATTTTTCATGGAACAAGTCTTGATAATTTGTTGGTTTCTTTAAAACTCAGGGAAAAAAAGATAAAAATGTCCTAAACATATGTGTTTACGGTAGGTCTTTTTTCTGTGGCGAAAGAAGTTATTTTCAAATGGGGCACTGCAAGGAGGATGCTTAGCATTTAATTTGAAAATGTTAAACAAAACGCAGTGCATGAAAAATAAATTGTAATTACATGTATTACATTCGAAAAGTTGGTACATATGTCTATTTTGTTTATAAGTTAGATAGAAAAAATAGGCATTTAAATGATTTCCTTCAGGCACCTCACATAAATAGCTAGAATGTTTGCAATGACCCACACATTGTATGGGGTCATGTTTGGACACAAAAACGCATCATGTCTCATTATGTTGACAACGTTGTAAGCTCTCGCTCATTGAACATACGAAGCTTGATAAAATATGATGAGTTGTTTCTATGAAATTTAGAAGCGAGCACAATGTTTGCAATGAAAGGTCCATTGCATATGCTATGTCTATCATCGCAAAAAAAGTGAGTGCTAACCCCCCCCCCTTCCCCCGAAAATCCTTTGTTTGTTTTTCAAAATAGTGTCAAAGATTAAAAAAATTGCATTTCTAAGTATGTGATGGAACATGTACTAGCCTTATAATAGCACTTGTTATAAAAATATTTGGTTGCCCTCTCTCCCGATCTACTGCCTAGAAATGGCCCGACTCATTTTTTTAACATTTCATATCACGATATTTTTTTCTTTTTCTTAAGTAAACAATTCTGTTTAAATTTTAAAGATTTTTTTTTCTCACCTATAAATACGGACCCAATAATTTTTCCCTGAGTTGGGAGGACCACCAAACATCATTTTAAAGATGTTTATATATAGGTTGATTTTTTCTCTTTACTTTGTACAATTGTAATTTTGAAAATATGGGCAAATAGAAAAAAAAATTATGTTCAAACTAAATAAATTACTTCAAGCCACACTATAACACCTTTCCTCTTTTTAAAGTGTTCATATTATTTGAAATATTTTGCAACTGTAATTCTCTTCTACATTTAAAGATTGTTATGCCCCTCCATATTAAGAAGAGGTCTGGAAAACAAGATTTTGTGCTAAAAATAGACCACGTGCTGCTATCCATGAACTACTTTCATGGTTCTTTACACTCTTTTTGAAAACAATGGTACCTTGTTTTGAACTTGAAATTATTATTTAAAAGTGCAAAATTTAGACATTTTCTCAACAAATGGTTGTAGAGAGAACATTAATGCACAGTTTGCATATTTTTTTGGATTTTTTAAGGCTCTGCTGAATTCTGTAGCTGCGCAGTTCTAAGGAGCATATCAAAAGCATTTTTCTGCAAAAGTATAGATTATATATGCACAACATGCATTCGGTTATGTATATTTATTGTATCTTTATCAAAAAGACTTAAAATTTGATCAAAATATAATGTATTTTAGCCATTTGAAGAAATGTTTACATTTTGCGTTCACTGCACTAAAGGTGGCCGTACATCCCCCTTAAGCAATAAAAATAATAAACAGCCAACTCCAGACCTAGAGCAGAATTTGGATTATCATATGCATAGACGAGTACGCAGCAGTATTCTATCGTCTCCCGATCCCAACCTTTAATTGGATCGATTGAGAAAACGGATGAATCCGTTGTTAGTTAATTCAGTGTGAAAATAATTTTTTTTTCAACCAAATATGTTTATCAAATTTGTAGCGTGAACCAGTGGAAACAACTCATAAGGGAAAATGGGGACTAAATTGGCCATAATTGCCTTAGTGGTTGGTGTCTTGGTTGTATTCTTTACAAATCGAGAGACTCATACGGAGGAACCAATTACACTCAACTCTACATATGATTACATTATAGGTAAGTGTTATATAAGCTATAATTATGTATGTTAATTGTTTTATTTCATTCAAAAGAATTAATTCAGAAGTACAATACACAATTTTTGTATGCTTTTTTAATGCCAGTAAATTATGTATTTTTATTTACTTGAAATAACTATACATGTATATAGCATCATATGAAATCTTAGGTGTACGTAGTGGAAGCTGTTGTGTAACAAGTTGATTTCTCTAGAAACAATTACTAGTATTTTATTTTTTCACGTGGATTAATATATTTGTTCAGTGGGAGCTGGAACAGCAGGGTGTGTCCTTGCTAATAGACTGTCAGAAGACCCAGAATCCTCGGTTCTTATTCTAGAAGCCGGGGGTTCCGAAGATGAAAACATGAACATAAGTATCCCAATCGCCTCTTCAAGTGTCCAGTTGTCAAAGCAAGACTGGAAGTTCCGAACTGTACCTCAAAAGAATGCATGTTTGGCAATGCAAGATAAGGTACAATAATTGAAACCCCATAGAAATATTGCATACTAGTACACCTTTTTCAAATTGAATTCAAAATGCATATTCAAAAGTCTTAAATGTAAATTTAAAAACAGAGTCTATTCTATTCTTCATGTTGAATTTATATTGTGTAGAAATGTGCCTGGCCGAAAGGAAGAGTACTTGGAGGTACAAGTAATTTGAACTTTATGCAACATGTCCGTGGCAGTCGCCATGACTACGATGGCTGGGCCAAAGAAGGGTGTAAAGGTTGGAGCTATAAAGATGTCCTCCCTTATTTTATTAAATCTGAAGACATACAAATCCCAGAACTTCAAAGTTCAGGTAGGCATATGCATTCCCAGGTAGCACAAAACATTTTAAAACATTTTATTGGTGTAGTAAAAAGTTTTTTTTCGAAACATTTCAGACTAAACATTTTTAAAATATTTTTAAAACATTTCCTATTCTCATTATAACATTTAAAAACATTTTAAAAATGTTTCCAAGAAGCTTATGATAAAATCCTTTTGGAATATTTTTCTGGAATGTTTCTGAAACGTTTTAAAAATGATTCAAAAGGTATGATTAGCTTTCAAATATAGATTTTTATATTACGTTTTAAGAACATTCTAAAAACATGAAATGAAACATTCCTTTTCCATAAATCTGAAACATTGCATGAATATTTCTGAAACATTTGGAAGGAACATTGTCAAAATATTTTTGAAACATTCTTAATATTATTAAAGGAACATTTTTTTCTAAAATGTTAATTTTGAGACGTTTTAAAAATAATTCAAAAAGTATGTTTAGCTTTCAAATATTATAGATTTTTATATTACGTTTTAAAAACGTTCTAAAACATGAAATGAAACATTCTCTTCCATAAATCTGAATATCTCATAATACGTTTCTGAAACATTTGGAAGGAACATTGTCAAAATGTTTTTGAAACATTTTTAATATAGTTTAAGGAACATTTTAAAAAAAATGTTTTTGAAACGTTTCAAAAATTATTTAAAGGGTATGTTTAGCTTTTAAATTTTAAAAATTTTATATAACGTTATAAAAACGTTTTTAAAACATGAAATGAAACATTCTTTTTCTGTAAGTTCCACCTAAGATTATTTTTTGTGTGGATTTTTATTCTCATGTGCATTTTCCCTTTATTTACTGAGTTCAGTTTCACATTGTTTTAAAGTAAAAGGCTCTTTGATGTTATTTTTCTATATTTTTAAACAGCCTATCACATTCTTTTACAGTTAAAGACTCTTTGATATGATTTTTCTATATTTTTAAACAGCCTATCACATTCTTTTAAAGTTAAAGACTCTTTGATAGGATTTTTAACATATTTTTAATCAGCCTATCACATTCTTTTAAAGTTAAAGACTCTTTGATATGATTTTTCTATATTTTTAATCAGCCTATCACATTCTTTTACAGTTAAAGACTCTTTGATAGGATTTTTAACATATTTTTAATCAGCCTATCACATTCTTTTAAAGTTAAAGACTCTTTGATATGATTTTTCTATATTTTTAATCAGCCTATCACATTCTTTTACAGTTAAAGACTCTTTGATAGGATTTTTAACATATTTTTAAACAGCCTATCACATTCTTTTAAAGTTAAAGACTCTTTGATAGGATTTTTAACATATTTTTAATCAGCCTATCACATTCTTTTAAAGTTAAAGACTCTTTGATATGATTTTTCTATATTTTTAAACAGCCTATCACATTCTTTTACAGTTAAAGACTCTTTGATAGGATTTTTAACATATTTTTAATCAGCCTATCACATTCTTTTAAAGTTAAAGACTCTTTGATATGATTTTTCTATATTTTTAAACAGCCTATCACATTCTTTTACAGTTAAAGACTCTTTGATATGATTTTTCTATATTTTTAATCAGCCTATCACATTCTTTTAAAGTTAAAGACTCTTTGATATGATTTTTCTATATTTTTAAACAGCCTATCACATTCTTTTACAGTTAAAGACTCTTTGATGTGATTTTTCTATATTTTTAAACAGCCTATCACATTCTTTTAAAGTTAAAGACTCTTTGATAGGATTTTTAACATATTTTTAATCAGCCTATCACATTCTTTTAAAGTTAAAGACTCTTTGATAGGATTTTTCTATATTTTTAATCAGCCTATCACATTCTTTTACAGTTAAAGACTCTTTGATAGGATTTTTAACATATTTTTAATCAGCCTATCACATTCTTTTAAAGTTAAAGACTCTTTGATATGATTTTTCTATATTTTTAATCAGCCTATCACATTCTTTTACAGTTAAAGACTCTTTAATAGGATTTTTAACATATTTTTAAACAGCCTATCACATTCTTTTAAAGTTAAAGACTCTTTGATAGGATTTTTAACATATTTTTAATCAGCCTATCACATTCTTTTAAAGTTAAAGACTCTTTGATATGATTTTTCTATATTTTTAAACAGCCTATCACATTCTTTTACAGTTAAAGACTCTTTGATAGGATTTTTCTATATTTTTAATCAGCCTATCACATTCTTTTAAAGTTAAAGACTCTTTGATAGGATTTTTCTATATTTTTAATCAGTCTATCACATTCTTTTAAAGTTAAAGACTCTTTGATAGGATTTTTCTATATTTTTAATCAGCCTATCACATTCTTTTACAGTTAAAGACTCTTTGATATGATTTTTCTATATTTTTAATCAGCCTATCACATTCTTTTAAAGTTAAAGACTCTTTGATATGATTTTTCTATATTTTTAAACAGCCTATCACATTCTTTTACAGTTAAAGACTCTTTGATGTGATTTTTCTATATTTTTAAACAGCCTATCACATTCTTTTAAAGTTAAAGACTCTTTGATATGATTTTTCTATATTTTTAAACAGCCTATCACATTCTTTTACAGTTAAAGACTCTTTGATATGATTTTTAACTATATTTTTAATCAGCCTATCACATTCTTTTAAAGTTAAAGACTCTTTGATATGATTTTTCTATATTTTTAAACAGCCTATCACATTCTTTTACAGTTAAAGACTCTTTGATGTGATTTTTCTATATTTTTAAACAGCCTATCACATTCTTTTAAAGTTAAAGACTCTTTGATAGGATTTTTAACATATTTTTAATCAGCCTATCACATTCTTTTAAAGTTAAAGACTCTTTGATATGATTTTTCTATATTTTTAATCAGCCTATCACATTCTTTTACAGTTAAAGACTCTTTGATAGGATTTTTAACATATTTTTAAACAGCCTATCACATTCTTTTAAAGTTAAAGACTCTTTGATAGGATTTTTCTATATTTTTAATCAGCCTATCACATTCTTTTACAGTTAAAGACTCTTTGATAGGATTTTTAACATATTTTTAAACAGCCTATCACATTCTTTTAAAGTTAAAGACTCTTTGATAGGATTTTTAACATATTTTTAATCAGCCTATCACATTCTTTTAAAGTTAAAGACTCTTTGATATGATTTTTCTATATTTTTAAACAGCCTATCACATTCTTTTACAGTTAAAGACTCTTTGATAGGATTTTTCTATATTTTTAATCAGCCTATCACATTCTTTTACAGTTAAAGACTCTTTGATAGGATTTTTCTATATTTTTAATCAGCCTATCACATTCTTTTAAAGTTAAAGACTCTTTGATAGGATTTTTCTATATTTTTAATCAGCCTATCACATTCTTTTACAGTTAAAGACTCTTTGATAGGATTTTTCTATATTTTTAATCAGCCTATCACATTCTTTTACAGTTAAAGACTCTTTGATAGGATTTTTAACATATTTTTAAACAGCCTATCACATTCTTTTAAAGTTAAAGACTCTTTGATAGGATTTTTAACATATTTTTAATCAGCCTATCACATTCTTTTAAAGTTAAAGACTCTTTGATATGATTTTTCTATATTTTTAAACAGCCTATCACATTCTTTTACAGTTAAAGACTCTTTGATAGGATTTTTCTATATTTTTAATCAGCCTATCACATTCTTTTACAGTTAAAGACTCTTTGATAGGATTTTTCTATATTTTTAATCAGCCTATCACATTCTTTTAAAGTTAAAGACTCTTTGATAGGATTTTTCTATATTTTTAAACAGCCTATCACATTCTTTTAAAGTTAAAGACTCTTTGATAGGATTTTTCTATATTTTTAATCAGCCTATCACATTCTTTTACAGTTAAAGACTCTTTGATAGGATTTTTCTATATTTTTAATCAGCCTATCACATTCTTTTAAAGTTAAAGACTCTTTGATAGGATTTTTCTATATTTTTAATCAGTCTATCACATTCTTTTAAAGTTAAAGACTCTTTGATAGGATTTTTCTATATTTTTAATCAGCCTATCACATTCTTTTACAGTTAAAGACTCTTTGATATGATTTTTCTATATTTTTAATCAGCCTATCACATTCTTTTAAAGTTAAAGACTCTTTGATATGATTTTTCTATATTTTTAAACAGCCTATCACATTCTTTTACAGTTAAAGACTCTTTGATGTGATTTTTCTATATTTGTAAACAGCCTATCACATTCTTTTAAAGTTAAAGACTCTTTGATATGATTTTTCTATATTTTTAAACAGCCTATCACATTCTTTTACAGTTAAAGACTCTTTGATATGATTTTTCTATATTTTTAATCAGCCTATCACATTCTTTTAAAGTTAAAGACTCTTTGATATGATTTTTCTATATTTTTAAACAGCCTATCACATTCTTTTACAGTTAAAGACTCTTTGATGTGATTTTTCTATATTTTTAAACAGCCTATCACATTCTTTTAAAGTTAAAGACTCTTTGATAGGATTTTTAACATATTTTTAATCAGCCTATCACATTCTTTTAAAGTTAAAGACTCTTTGATATGATTTTTCTATATTTTTAATCAGCCTATCACATTCTTTTAAAGTTAAAGACTCTTTGATAGGATTTTTAACATATTTTTAATCAGCCTATCACATTCTTTTAAAGTTAAAGACTCTTTGATATGATTTTTCTATATTTTTAATCAGCCTATCACATTCTTTTACAGTTAAAGACTCTTTGATAGGATTTTTAACATATTTTTAATCAGCCTATCACATTCTTTTAAAGTTAAAGACTCTTTGATATGATTTTTCTATATTTTTAATCAGCCTATCACATTCTTTTACAGTTAAAGACTCTTTAATAGGATTTTTAACATATTTTTAAACAGCCTATCACATTCTTTTAAAGTTAAAGACTCTTTGATAGGATTTTTAACATATTTTTAATCAGCCTATCACATTCTTTTACAGTTAAAGACTCTTTGATAGGATTTTTCTATATTTTTAATCAGCCTATCACATTCTTTTACAGTTAAAGACTCTTTGATAGGATTTTTAACATATTTTTAATCAGCCTATCACATTCTTTTACAGTTAAAGACTCTTTGATAGGATTTTTCTATATTTTTAATCAGCCTATCACATTCTTTTACAGTTAAAGACTCTTTGATAGGATTTTTAACATATTTTTAAACAGCCTATCACATTCTTTTAAAGTTAAAGACTCTTTGATAGGATTTTTAACATATTTTTAATCAGCCTATCACATTCTTTTACAGTTAAAGACTCTTTGATAGGATTTTTCTATATTTTTAAACAGCCTATCACATTCTTTTACAGTTAAAGACTCTTTGATAGGATTTTTCTATATTTTTAATCAGCCTATCACATTCTTTTACAGTTAAAGACTCTTTGATAGGATTTTTCTATATTTTTAAACAGCCTATCACATTCTTTTAAAGTTAAAGACTCTTTGATAGGATTTTTCTATATTTTTAAATAGCCTATCACATTCTTTTAAAGTTAAAGACTCTTTGATAGGATTTTTCTATATTTTTAATCAGCCTATCACATTCTTTTAAAGTTAAAGACTCTTTGATAGGATTTTTAACATATTTTTAATCAGCCTATCACATTCTTTTAAAGTTAAAGACTCTTTGATATGATTTTTCTATATTTTTAATCAGCCTATCACATTCTTTTACAGTTAAAGACTCTTTGATAGGATTTTTAACATATTTTTAATCAGCCTATCACATTCTTTTAAAGTTAAAGACTCTTTGATATGATTTTTCTATATTTTTAATCAGCCTATCACATTCTTTTAAAGTTAAAGACTCTTTGATAGGATTTTTAACATATTTTTAATCAGCCTATCACATTCTTTGAAAGTTAAAGACTCTTTGATAGGATTTTTAACATATTTTTAATCAGCCTATCACATTCTTTTAAAGTTAAAGACTCTTTGATAGGATTTTTCTATATTTTTAAACAGCCTATCACATTCTTTTAAAGTTAAAGACTCTTTGATAGGATTTTTAACATATTTTTAATCAGCCTATCACATTCTTTTAAAGTATAAAGACTCTTTGATATGATTTTTCTATATTTTTAATCAGCCTATCACATTCTTTTACAGTTAAAGACTCTTTGATAGGATTTTTAACATATTTTTAATCAGCCTATCACATTCTTTTAAAGTTAAAGACTCTTTGATATGATTTTTCTATATTTTTAATCAGCCTATCACATTCTTTTAAAGTTAAAGACTCTTTGATAGGATTTTTCTATATTTTTAATCAGCCTATCACATTCTTTTACAGTTAAAGACTCTTTGATAGGATTTTTAACATATTTTTAATCAGCCTATCACATTCTTTTAAAGTTAAAGACTCTTTGATAGGATTTTTCTATATTTTTAAACAGCCTATCACATTCTTTTAAAGTTAAAGACTCTTTGATAGGATTTTTAACATATTTTTAATCAGCCTATCACATTCTTTTAAAGTTAAAGACTCTTTGATATGATTTTTCTATATTTTTAATCAGCCTATCACATTCTTTTACAGTTAAAGACTCTTTGATAGGATTTTTAACATATTTTTAATCAGCCTATCACATTCTTTTACAGTTAAAGACTCTTTGATAGGATTTTTCTATATTTTTAATCAGCCTATCACATTCTTTTACAGTTAAAGACTCTTTGATAGGATTTTTAACATATTTTTAAACAGCCTATCACATTCTTTTAAAGTTAAAGACTCTTTGATAGGATTTTTAACATATTTTTAATCAGCCTATCACATTCTTTTACAGTTAAAGACTCTTTGATAGGATTTTTCTATATTTTTAAACAGCCTATCACATTCTTTTACAGTTAAAGACTCTTTGATAGGATTTTTCTATATTTTTAATCAGCCTATCACATTCTTTTACAGTTAAAGACTCTTTGATAGGATTTTTCTATATTTTTAAACAGCCTATCACATTCTTTTAAAGTTAAAGACTCTTTGATAGGATTTTTCTATATTTTTAAATAGCCTATCACATTCTTTTAAAGTTAAAGACTCTTTGATAGGATTTTTCTATATTTTTAAATAGCCTATCACATTCTTTTACAGTTAAAGACTCTTTGATATGATTTTTCTATATTTTTAAACAGCCTATCACATTCTTTTAAAGTTAAAGACTCTTTGATAGGATTTTTCTATATTTTTAATCAGCCTATCACATTCTTTTACAGTTAAAGACTCTTTGATATGATTTTTCTATATTTTTAAACAGCCTATCACATTCTTTTAAAGTTAAAGACTCTTTGATATGATTTTTCTATATTTTTAAATAGCCTATCACATTCTTTTAAAGTTAAAGACTCTTTGATATGATTTTTCTATATTTTTAAACAGCCTATCACATTCTTTTAAAGTTAAAGACTCTTTGATATGATTTTTCTATATTTTTAAACAGCCTATCACATTCTTTTAAAGTTAAAGACTCTTTGATATGATTTTTCTATATTTTTAAACAGCCTATCACATTCTTTTAAAGTTAAAGACTCTTTGATATGATTTTTCTATATTTTTAAACAGCCTATCACATTCTTTTAAAGTTAAAGACTCTTTGATATGATTTTTCTATATTTTTAAACAGCCTATCACATTCTTTTAAAGTTAAAGACTCTTTGATATGATTTTTCTATATTTTTAAATAGCCTATCACATTCTTTTAAAGTTAAAGACTCTTTGATATGATTTTTCTATATTTTTAAACAGCCTATCACATTCTTTTAAAGTTAAAGACTCTTTGATATGATTTTTCTATATTTTTAAACAGCCTATCACATTCTTTTACAGTTAAAGACTCTTTGATAGGATTTTTCTATATTTTTAAACAGCCTATCACATTCTTTTAAAGTTAAAGACTCTTTGATAGGATTTTTCTATATTTTTAAATAGCCTATCACATTCTTTTAAAGTTAAAGACTCTTTGATAGGATTTTTCTATATTTTTAAATAGCCTATCACATTCTTTTACAGTTAAAGACTCTTTGATATGATTTTTCTATATTTTTAAACAGCCTATCACATTCTTTTAAAGTTAAAGACTCTTTGATAGGATTTTTCTATATTTTTAATCAGCCTATCACATTCTTTTACAGTTAAAGACTCTTTGATATGATTTTTCTATATTTTTAAACAGCCTATCACATTCTTTTAAAGTTAAAGACTCTTTGATATGATTTTTCTATATTTTTAAATAGCCTATCACATTCTTTTAAAGTTAAAGACTCTTTGATATGATTTTTCTATATTTTTAAACAGCCTATCACATTCTTTTAAAGTTAAAGACTCTTTGATATGATTTTTCTATATTTTTAAACAGCCTATCACATTCTTTTAAAGTTAAAGACTCTTTGATATGATTTTTCTATATTTTTAAACAGCCTATCACATTCTTTTAAAGTTAAAGACTCTTTGATATGATTTTTCTATATTTTTAAACAGCCTATCACATTCTTTTAAAGTTAAAGACTCTTTGATATGATTTTTCTATATTTTTAAACAGCCTATCACATTCTTTTAAAGTTAAAGACTCTTTGATATGATTTTTCTATATTTTTAATCAGCCTATCACGGAAAAGGAGGATATTTGACTATCAGTGACGGGACTGCGACTCCCCTCAATGATGTCTATAGCAGAGCAATGCAAGAGTTAGGACACCCTATCACAGACTGCAATGGAAAATCGCAAACAGGTAGGTTGACATGTTTTTTAAAGATATTTCTTGAAATTAAAATTATGATATTTATGATTTTCAGAGCTAATAGTGAGCTGCATATTTGATAAATTCTTTATACACAAAAAGAAGTCATTAATTTATTGCCTGTTCCATGTATTGTATTTACTGAAAACATCTGGTATGATGGAAAGAGAAATCAAAATTAATGCTCATCATATGAAACACTTGAATGAAAAAATAATTTTTTGGCCAAACATTATCAGTCTTCATTGTCTTCTTTTTTATCACGAGCGTCCTTCATTCAACTACATGTATCTTCTCTATATTTCTTTACGTGATCTTTCTTTCATATTCGTTTTAATAGTTTTTAATAACATATACTTTTTACAAACATGGTTTCATTCTCAAAGGCTTTTGTAAGTCTCAAGAAGCAACAAGAAATGGAGAACGTTGGAGTTCTGTCAAAGCATTTTTAAGACCCGTAATGAAGAGAAAGAACCTGCATGTCTCTTCAAATTCTTATGTCACTAAGGTAGATGAATATTAATTTAGTCATTATAATGGGCTTCTGGATATATTAAAGAGATTATCTTTTTTCAAATGAAATAGTATCGAGAAAACGCCCAGTATTCAAGTTCAAAAGTCAAACAATACGAATTTTGGGGACCTCTAAAACATCAGAGATGGGATCAGGTGCCATGGCCAGGGGAGTGAGCAAAAATAGTTCCACTTTCTAATGTTTAAAACAAAATGTTTTCTTTAAGGTTCTAATTAAAGATAAGAAGGCGATCGGGGTATCCTTTGTTCGAGATAACAGGAAGTACGTCATAATGGCGAACAAGGAGGTGATTGTCTCAGCAGGTGCAGTGCAGTCACCCCAGATCTTGATGTTGTCTGGAATAGGACCAAAGGAACATCTCACATCCATGGGGGTACGACACAATTATGCATATTGCAGTCACTTTTTCATGCGTGAAATGGCGAGCAATAATTCAATGTACACTGAATTTAATACATTTGGAGGTTTTTGTTATATATAAAAATTGTTGACAAATTCCCATCATATTGCTATTTAGATCCAAGTGGTTACAGATCTGCCTGTTGGAGAGAATTTACAGGACCACATTATGACTATTGTAGATTTTCATGACAACACTACGAGTGTGACCACCAAATCCAAGCTTACATCACCAAGCACTATAATTCAATACTTGGCCTTCAAATCAGGTAAAGCTTATTGAATTTTGTTCCACAAATTCTTATTTTGAAGGACCTTCAGTTTTACAAGTAGAGGGTTTCAAAGAGCTAAGAGAATACTTATCGCTGCTTTGTTCACATTGTGCAATGTTACACATAAATTTATATACCACACTGTAATCTATATCTGGGGAAAATGACAATGTTAAATACAAAATTGCAAAAATGTTGTCACAAAGCATTTCCATCACATTGCTTGATTTAATATTTTTTTCCAAATAATTTGAAGTTTTGACCATTTTTTACCAGACTATGTAAGAGAATAAAAGATTTTTTTTTTTTATTAATTGAAACTTTCACACATATTACAAACAATACAAACTTCTGTATGGATATATGTACAATTAAAATCAAACAAGACTAATTATGGTTGGAACATACAAACTTAGTGTAAAAGTTTATGAAAAGAGAGAGCGAGAGAGAGAGAGAGAGAGAGAGAGAGAGAGAGAGGGAGGGGAGAGAGGCAGGTAAGCATTATATGTTGTGCCCTAAAACATAATAAGTTTTCATTAAGCTTACCATATGAAGTTAAGAGAAAAAAAAAAGAAAGAAAGAAAAGAGGAGGAAGCTAAAAAGAGACTAGTGCAATGCAGTTTTGAGGGATTTTCTAATAATTAATATTTAAAAAATTGAAAAAAAGAACTAATGATAATAATTACAAAGAAGGTAAATTAATTAAGTATAACAACCCATTTCTGCCAGAAAGTATTAAAATCTGTCAGTTTTTTATCCTCTGTTATGGTGTGTTTTAAAGTTTTAAAATATGAATTAAATAAATTTAAAAGACCTTGGATAGATGGACAGGTATTCTGACAACGAACTTTATAAATATAATGCTTCATTAATATCAACATAGTGTTGAAGTATTCTGAATTTTCATTTTTATTTTTTTCACCAAAAATAAATGATTTTGCATTGAGATTCAATTCAATGTCTTTAGCTTGACATAAATGTATGAATTTTTTTAAGAATTGCTGAACAACATTACATTCCCAGATTAAATGATAAATTGTTTCCTCTTCGTCTTCACAAAAAGTACAGTACATTGTACTTGGTGTCGGATTTACCTATTTTATACATGAGACTATTTGTAGTTAGAATATGATGATTAACTCTGTATTGAAACCATTGTAATTTACAATCCCCTGTCACGAGGAATGGAAGATTATAAATTGTTTTCCATTGTACTCGTATATCGGTTATTTCAAAATATCTAGCCCACTTCTTTTTACCAGAAGGTTTGATAACTGGCTTATTTAAAATATCATACATAGGTTTTGATCCTTTCCTGGTATTGATAAATATTTTGATATTAAAAGGAATCATTGGTCTTTGCATTAATCCATTTCTATAAAAATTGTATTTCTTTAAGTCTGCTAGTATTGTCTGTCTTATGCCATTGTATGTCACATAATTAATTTTAATTTTAAATTTATTTTGTAGATCCTCTAATGATAGAAAATTGTTATGTTCATCTAGTAGATCTAACACATGAGTAACACCATTTTCATACCACAGTTTATAAAAGACAGATTGTTTTCCAATTTTAAAATTTTTATTCAACCATAAAGGTTGGTTAACATATTCATTCCAGTCTGTAATTTCAGAATTATCTTGAATTTCCCGAAAAGCATTGAATGTATCCTTCCAAAACTGATTGTGTAAACACTTATTAAAGTTTGATACACATACTGATCCTGTATTTATTAGTTTATTAGTATCAATTATATTTTCAAGCAAAATTTTCCATTTGGAGTTTTTGTCATTAATAATTCTCCTTATCCATGTTGATTTCAAAGCTTTTATATAACAGCCAATATCAATCATTTTTAAACCACCGTGTTTATATTGCTGTGTAACAACATTTCTTTTAACTTTATCAACATTTGATTTCCATAGAAAATTGAAAAGTATATTGCTCAAGTTTTTCAGAAAATTAATTTGTGGGGTTGGTAAGGATATAAATAAATGTTTAAGTTGAGATACAAGAAGTGATTTGATTAGAGTTATCCTCCCAATCGGTGTTAAGTTTCTTTTATTCCACTGATCTATAATTGATTTGATTTTAACAAGTTTTTTGTCATAATTTAATCTAGTAATCTTTGCAAGATCTACATCATAATAAATTCCAAGAAGTTTAAAATTGGTTGTCCAGATGAATTCCATCTCTGGGCAAACTCTGTCATTAGAATATTTCTTACTACCTATCCATACCACTTGGGTTTTTGACCGATTTATCCTTAGTCCTGACATATTATAAAATTCTGTTATTTCCTTTATTAAAGCCTGAAGTGATTTTTCTGACCCATCTAAAATTATCATTGTGTCATCAGCATACTGAGACATTAAAAATTCAGTATTTCCTATTTCAATTCCTTTGATGTCTTTATTGTTTTTAATCTTTATTGATAATATCTCTGCGCAAAGGAGAAAAATATATGGTGATATTGGGTCCCCTTGTCGACAGCCGCGTCCTAATTTGAAAAAGTTGGATAAAAAACCAGCCTGGGTCACACATGAATTTGAATTACATTGAAAAGTTTTTATCCATTGACAAAAAGATTGTCCAAAATTGAAAAAATTTAGGGTTTTTTCTATAAATTTCCATGACACTGTGTCAAAAGCTTTTTCAAAGTCTATCATAACTAACATTCCAGGGATTTGCTTTAATTCAGTATAATCCATCAGATCGTATATAAGCCGTGTATTTTCTCCAATATATCTCCCAGGTATGAATCCTGTCTGATCTGAACTTATTATTTTAGGTAAAACTTGTTTTATTCTTTGAGCTATACAGCCTGATCCAATTTTATAAATCACATTCAACAATGATATTGGTCTCCAGTTACTAAGCTGAAATTTACTCTTGCCCTCTTTGGGTATACATGTAATTATTCCCTGTTTTTGTGTGGAGGAGAGTTCCCCATTTTCATAACCAAAGTTTAATGATCGAACAATAAAATGACCCAGATTTTTCCAAAATACTTTTAAAAATTCTGCAGTAAATCCATCGCTACCCGGGCTTTTATTATTAGACATTTGTTTTAACACATTTGATGCCTCTCTATAAGAAATCTTTCCTTCTAATAGAAGACTTTCATGTTCATTTAACTTTGGGACATTATACTCTTCTAAAGATTCTCTAAGATTTAAATTATGATCCTCTTCTTGAGGCATATATAATGTTTTATAAAAATTTTCCACTTCTAAGAGAATTTTACATTGTTCTGTTATCTCCACTTGTTCATTATTTTTTGTTTTAATAAGTTTAGGAATTACTTTGTTTATAAAATTTCTATTCTCAAGATTTAGAAAATAACTTGTTGGTTTTTCGCCATCACTGATCCATCTGACTCTAGACCTTATCACATTTCCCATTAATTTATGTTGTCTTATTTGTTCTAATTCTCTTTTTTTCTCAGTTAATTTTTCTATAGAAGAGGCATATTCCTCTTCTAATTTCGATATATCCTGGATTAAAACTTTTTCTCTCTGTACATTCTTTCTTTTAACATAACTTCCATAAGATATTGTTTTAGCTCTTATTTCCATTAATAGAGTCTCAAGAAATAATTGATCATTAATAATTAAATGAATTTCAGAGTTTGGTATTTCATCTATAGAATTTTCTACATATATTGGAACAGCGTATTGTTTTTTAATTACATTAATGTGATTGTTTATCAGTTCAATATAATCAGGATCCTTCAAAAGAGAATTGTTGAATTTCCATAAACCTTTCCCATGCTTTATTTCGTTAATTTTAAGATGTAAAACCACTGCTGAGTGATCTGATCTATAGCTTCCTAATATGTCACAATTTTTTACACTATTTAGAAGAGAGTTGGAAAGAAGTATGAAGTCTAGCCTTGCCTGTTTTAAGGGATTAGATTTCCTCCATGTAAATCTTTTGTCATCAACATGATATTCTCTGTAAATGTCCACTAAATTATATGTGTTCATTATCTCAAGTACTACTTGTCTTGCCCTAGGGTTATTCACATGCAAATAATTAGAATAGTCCTTAGCTGGATCCAAAACTAAATTGAAATCTCCAGTAATAATGACCTCATTATTTAATCTAGAAATCAAATTGGATATATTTTCAAAAAATGTTGGACAGTCATCATTTGGTCCATATATAGTTATCAATGTAATTTTTTTTCCTTCTATAGTAATCTCTAATGCCAAGTAGTTACCAGAGGTATCTAAAAACTGATCATGAACCTTGAATGAGAAATTATTGTTGAAAAAAATTGCAACTCCTCTTGAATTCGACATATAGGAACTAAAATAAGCTTCATATCCCCACTCATTTCTAATGATTTGTTCGTTTTCTTCTATAAAATGAGTGTCAATAAGACACAGAATACTACATTTTTTTTGTCGAAAGTAGTGAAAGACATCTTTTCTTTTCATTGCATCATTTAAACCTTGACAGTTGACAGATATTATTTTAATTTCTGACATATGGATATATATTTTTTTTTAATTATCAAAATTCTGCAAATTGTGTCAATTCCCTCATTATTATACACGTATACAGCTGCACTGCACAAAGAAGTAGAAAAGTAAAGTAAATAGAGTACCCACGTATAGAAAAGATTCATTGACAATTTTGTGCACTTTAAATTGGTCGAAATTTTAGGAAAATTAAAGGTCAAATATTTTAAAAAATTGTAGCATTGTCATATATGTTTACCTAACTATGTCACTGGATGTAAAGAAAGGATACTAAATAAAGAACCATGCGATCATACTGTATAGTTCCGGAAAAAAAACGGATTTAAAAGTTCCGACTTGGTGGCTCGGTTTAAGCCCTATACAGAATGGAGCACTAATATACACTGTATACCTAATCCACATCCACTTGATTTGCAATATCACTGACGTGCTCTTCCATAATACGAAAACGTTCCTGCCCAAGGAAGGTACGACCATTCCATCTCGTAACCACAATTCCGACGTTAACTATTTCGTTAGATTGCATGTACTTCAACAGGCGGCGACCTGCCCCATGTTCACCTCCATCCCAGTAGCTTTCCTGTAACTTTCCTGAGTTGTCTATGAATCTATAAACTAAGATGCGATGATCTGCCTCCGCCGAAACAGGGTCAATGCTCACTTTTTTATAAAGCTGATTCACTTCCTCCATCGCATGAATTTTTCTTCCTGTGGCAAAGATCTCGGAATTCTTTACCTTGGTCGGTTCTGTGTATACGATGTTCACATTATCCAGTTTCGCTGTTTCCTCCGGACCGATCTTAAGCGCATCTGATATTTCCAGCTTTGGAATAGGGTCCTCATATCGATGTCCATTCGGCATAACCACAAGAGAATAAAAGATAATTAAAAATAAAATAATAAATAATTAAAAATAAAGTTTGATAAAGTTGACGGAACAAATTTGAGTTATGTAAATAGCAAATTTATTTTGTACACTTATCATACATTAATTCTACTTATGATGTCTGTTTTATTATTATATACACTACATTATTTTCAAGTTTAGTAATTTACAAGTATTCTTTTTCATTTTAAATTTTTAAATATATTCTTCATATCTTTTCATTTTGTTTAATATTTGAAATCCCTACCCTTCGATCGAGAAAACACACACAGTAGGTTTGTGTTAATTTTATTTGTCATTTGACAAGATTTTCTCAACCTTTATTGATTCAGGTTTATTGAGCAAAACGCATTTGGAGGGAACTGCCTTTCTCACAGATGACGAAAAATTACCGCCATATTTTCAGTTTCATTTCTCAAGCCTCATGTTTGATCCAACAATGGTTGACTTGCTTTTTAGTCTTCTTAATCTTGACCCAAAGGTAAAAAAAAATCCTTTTACAAATATATCCAATATAAATAACTAAGATGCCGAACAGTATTCAAACTCAAAGCTCATTAATAAATTTTGGAGCAGAGCCAACAAGACCTCTAAAACATCACAGGTCGGATCAAGTGCCTTGAGGAGTGAGCAACCCCTGCCGACTGGGCACACCCGCTATGGCATAAGGAATTGTTCGTGTACAATACAGTGCCAACTTTGGCCTGACAATGTGTATGAAAACGCCAGTCAGCATTTTCTTTGAATAATAATTTAATTATAGTAGATTGTATTTGCTTACAAGGTAATTGTATCGACTATAGAACTAACATAATGAGACAGGTGATATTTTTGTTTCATCAACTTGTTTGTCAATAACTTCTGAATCAATAATTCTAATACTAGTATGATAACAATTAATTTCTACAAGAGAGTATCGGTATAATATTTTGTTGATATGATATAAATTTGATTGACGACGCAAATCAAGGACTGTATGACATGAAGGTAACAAATGCTTCTAATTATGAAATACTGATTACCACAATGTTTCGCTTTCCTTTTCTTTGGAAATTGTTGCTTTAAAACTGCATTAAATCTCCTGAAAAAAATCTTTTACAATATTTTGCAATTTTAAAGCTAAAGGAAGGCACACAAAGGGCATTTCAAAGAAACGTAGACAGAAATATAGGGACCTTTATGGGATTCCCAATTCTTCTTCATCCCAAAAGTCGGGGGACCATACGACTTCAAAGTGATGATCCCTTTGATCCGCCACTCATTGACCCAAACTACCTCGACCACCCGGACGATATCAAGACGTTTCTGAGAGGTATGGACGTTTATAACTTTATGTGCTGTGTCTGATTTATACTAGTAATTATTTTGATTAAATAACTCAAAATCAATTAGAAATTTTCAGTATCAGTATGTATATTAAGAATACGGAATATCAATTTTTTCCAGGAAGTTTTCAATAACACATCCTTCCAATAACCAATATATAACCAAGCACTATGATTAGTGAGGTTTTTTTTTTTAGCCTTAGCTAATAGATACTAAATTGTTAATAGCGGGCGCACTGTGAGCTCCATAGACTAACTTAATTTAATAGAAAATTCGAATTATAATCTGTATATTTGTCAAGTAATTTCATGTACCGTCAAACCCCGCGGTTTGAAGAGTCGATGCAATATTAAAAGTGTTCATTTATGGTATACAACTGCGTTTGTCCTAACGGTGCTTCTGTGTATGGCTTATGTAAATACAGTTAATCGATATTTTGTAAAATTCTTTTTCAGCTTAAATTAAAACAGTTCAATTGATATGTGCACTGCATTCTACTATTATTGACCTTTAAGGAGTACGGAAGATGTTGAAATTCGGAGACACTGCAGCATTTAAGTCAATTGGTGCCTCTTCAAAGGATCCGTTAGAGGCCTATACGCCTCAGTGTGACAACACATCTCCAGGATCAGACGAGTATTGGTTCTGTAGATTGAGACATTACACATATACAGTGTTTCATCCCACGTCCACTTGTCGAATGGGTGCCAAAGATGATCCAACAGCAGTGGTTGATCCTGAACTCAGGTATGTTTTAACGAAGAACAAGTTATATTCCTGGTGATGTACTTCATGCCATATAAATCTATAAATGCTGGCTACAAATATTGAAATTATTAATCGCATGGAATATATATGACATTTAATCCATTCAAAATGTCAATGTCCACACTGAGTAATATTTATTTTTAGATGTCTGACAATCTTATTTTAATTAAACAGAGTGAGAGGGATCTCAAATCTACGAGTAGTGGATGCTTCCGTCATGCGCAACATACCTTCCGGAAATACCAACGCTCCAACCATAATGATTGCAGAAAAAGCAGCAGATATGATAAGAAATATTGACAGTGTGAAATCCATTAGAGAAAGAACTGATAGTCTGTGATAGTCTATACACATGTTCAATGACACCTTTCACTATAAGTGAATGGTTATATCATGGAATGATGTCCATCAATGATGGGATAATTATTGGTCGTCACTCATGATTTTTTTTCATTGGTGATACAGATCCATTCACTTACAAGATCTTCACCTTAAAGTGAAAGTGATGGAAAATGTTGCTTCAGAACTTGTATACTAACACACTTATTATTGACAAACACATCACTGTGACTAATCCTGGCTGCGTTTATAAAGTCAATGTAATATTTAAGTACTCTGAAGTTCATATTAAAAATGATGCTCGAGTTTCTGATTGACAATATCTATGTAGTTTTTGGAGACCAAGTCTTATTGAAATTTCCATGGGTACCAATTGCACTTCGTTATTAGCAGACCTATTTTTGTATTCATATGAATAAGAATTTGTTCAAAATCTTTATACATGGAAAGAAGAAAACACTTGCTGTGGCCTTCAACTTGACATTCAGATATATGGACGACGTATTGTCAATAAACAAAGGTTATTTCCATTCTTATGTCGATATGACATATCCCGGTGAGCTTGAAATAAAAGATACCATAGAGTCTGACACATCTGTCATCATATTTATTTTGAATATATATTTCACTCGAAAAAAAAAGTAAATGGTTATCTAACTACCAAGCTTTACAATAAACGTGATGACTTCTTCAATTTTTCAATCGTCATCTTTCCCTTACTTATGCAGCAAAATACATGTACCTTCATGACCTGCATATGGGGTTAACATCTCTCAGTTGATTCAATACGCAAGAGCATGCCCTACCTATGAAAAATTTCTGAAAGGAAGTAAATTATTATACCCCCCGCTTGAAAAGCGGGAGGGTATATAGTAATCGGTAATTCCGTCCGTCCGTCCGTCCGTCCGTCCGTCTGTTACGCTTTAGGGTACCCATCTCTTATCCACAACTCCTCTTATACCACTGAGTGAAATTTAATGAAACTTTCACAAAATCTTTATTACATGTTGCCATTGTGCACCTCCTATTTTACTTTTTGATCTGACACATATTTTGGGTTTCCCGGCCATGGCAAAACATGGACTTTGTCATCAGTTATAACCATATGGGAGGCGGGGGGTATCATTTAGTGAGCTCAATGCTCACAGTACCTCTAGTTTACAAACAAATTGCTGAATGAAGAATATCAACAGTCTCGTATAAAGTCATCATTTCATGTTTTATACAATGTCCTTGTCAGCAAATACCGGTACAATTTATGATTACCTGTATTCGGGTAAGTCAAATGCCGTCTGAAGTTTTTCATGCTTGATCCATGAAGTTTCTATATCTAAAAAAATCAAAAACTTAAACATCCTTCCAAATATCCAAATAAGGCCTAACGGATATTGAGATAAAACTATGAGTTAATTTAAATCTGTTACCTTCAAAACCTCGATCAATTTAGATACCAGTAAGTGGTCTTTGCTTACGAATAGGAATCTGAAATTTAGCACGAATGTTTCTCCGTATGAAATAAATACACAGGATAACGCAAATACACAAAGTAACTAAACTGAGTTTTGAAATATCGTTTTTTCCCTTTTAAATTAAAATATACGAAATATTAATTTAAAAAAAAATTGTTTGTTATTTTTTTTTACAACAAACACCTATTAGACTACGTGATTTGACTAACCTTAGCAGGTGAATTCTTGTTTACTTTTCACTATTAATATTCAGGTCAAATTGTAGAATGATTACCACGGGAGAAACTCTTATAATGATATTATGAGCTGATGTAACCATTCAGATTATGTGGTAATGTATTTTATCAATCTATACATTAACAATCTCTTAACATCTTATAGTTTAATTTATTTAATAGCTTAATTTAAAAATGTACTTTGCCAATGTTTAATGTCGCTGAGGTCTCCGCCACTCGTATTTTCTGCAAATCCACTAGGCCTTAAAGTTTTACTATCATTAAAGCTAAGGTAAGTGTTCATAATTGCCATTAAAAAGAACTTTAGTACATGTAGTGTGATATGTATTAATTTTGTTGTTATACGTACTTTGCACAAGAAAGGTGAAGAGTACTTATATAAAAGAACACAAAATAAATATACAATGGTCAATATGTACGGTAGGTTGAAAGGGATAAAAAAAAAGAAATATACAGGTATTTTACAATCATAGGCAAAAATGTTTAATATATATATATTACATCTTCCAGCTCAAGGTTTTGTATGGATTCTCAGATATCTTAATAGAAACAATTAAGAAAAAAGTTTGCCAAAAATATTAAATGAACACTCCTTCTTTCTTTTGTAAAAAATGAAATCAGGAAAAACTCTAAATGTGAAAACTTCATGATAAAACAAATTATACATAGAACGTCAGAACATGACAATGAAATTTTGTACAAACAAGTGGCAATCAGGTTAAAATAGGGAATAGGACAAAGACAGAAAACCAAAATAAAATATATGAAATTGTCATTCTATACTCCAAATAAAGCAATTCTACTTTTAAAGCTGAATAACATACTTGGAATTCAGCAGTATATATAAGATGCCTGTGGCATCAAGGGCCTCGGTATGTAAGGTTCGGCAACTTCCACTTTTAAGTGCCAAGATCTTGGCGAATAAACCCTTGCTCCTATTTATATCGTTTAGATCATTTACGACCGGGTTTGAAAACCACGACCTTTCGAACACGTAGCACAATTTTAATTGAAAAAAATTATTTTAGAGAAGTATGAGAAAAGCACCACAAAAACTGATTTAATACTTTTGAGCAATTTCTGAAAAAAAAACTTTAATCAAATAAATTTTAGTGTTCAGGGCCTGTTTTGTTGAGCACATTGCATAAAAAATATATACTGAGTATTTGAAAACAATTTCGGTAAAATTATTCTTTAGAGCACAAACTTTTTATGAATTTTTATGATACTTTGATGGTAAAATAGTCAAGAATTCCGAAGCTAATCGTTGAATAGCCTTCTTCATTCGAAAGTTTTTCCTTCTTTTTAAAATATTCTAAACTAATTTCAATTAAGGCATATCCACTTGGTTCTTAAAGTAACACTGTAATAGGATCAACAGATTGTAGTTCTATATCATGTTTAGTTTATTCTAAATAAAATGTAGAAATATGCATACATAAGAAATATTCTTCAGTTTTTTCTGATTGCATTATGATTCAAATTTTATCGAACGATATCTCTTTCTTTTCTAGTAAACCAGCGAACCGTGATTAGAAGAAGATGGGATTTAAAGGGGCCATAATAGCTTTAATACTCGGTGTCACAGCTGTATATTTCACAAATCGAAGGACGCCAACATTTGAACTTATTTCACTCAACTCTTCATATGATTACATTATATGTAAGGAAATCGTCAATGCAGAATAATGAATTTTATTAACAAAAGCTTAAGACACACTGTATTACTAGTTTTATGTATCTTTTTAAATTAATTAAACCAAAAAAGAACCTTCCCCCTTTTTTCTTTTAAATAAATTTTTCATTTTTCTTCAGTGGGCGCTGGATCAGCAGGCTGTGTCCTTGCAAACAGACTTTCGGAAGACCCAGGGTCTTCGGTGCTTATTCTAGAAGCTGGAGGTTCCGAGGATGAAAACCAAAACATTAGTGTGCCAATTGGTTCAGGTCTTGTTCAAAATTCGAAACAAGACTGGATGTTTAAATCTGAACCCCAGAAGAAATCATGTCTGGCAATGCAAAACAAGGTACTTATCACTTTATTGGCAACTTAAGAGCATTTTAATGATATGAAAGAATAAGGCAAAATTAAGTATGCCAAAGATGAAAATTTGCTAGAAAGTGCCATTACATGTAGGTATATAAAGAAGCAAAAATGATGTGAATTTTCTTTTATTTGAAGCTTTATCATCCAAATGGAAAAGGTAACGTTGGCTGTACAAATGCATTCGCATGCTTGTGCATTTGTACAGGCACCTCTTGCCAATATTCACAAACACATATGTAAGTTCAATAATGCATGTTATCGAAGCAAGGCTAGTCCTTTTTGTCCGAACTATACAATTCGAAGCTACGTTAAAGGCAATTATTTATGAGCTGTATATAATTAAGAATTTACAATGTGAAATTCCAACATTCAAACTGCTACAGAAATGCAATGTGGCAGAAGGTAACACTTTTTCAGGTCTGAAGAATTAATTTTAGGACCAAAGATCAGAGTTTTTTTTTTTTTTTTTTTTTTTTTTTTTTTTATACAAAATATTAGATGTATCATTCAGCTGTTCGATTTCATACTTCCATGTTGGGCAAATTTTTCTAAATCACTGTCAATAAGGTTAAACAGCATTGACTATGATTTCAGCATATAACTTTAGGAATTGTGAAAATATGTGAGTAATGTGACAAGAAAAAATCTGAATCCTTTGAAAAAAAATCATGTTTTATTATTCAAATAATTCTGATTTATGGTGGTCTTTGAATTGAAAAGAATTTCGAAAGGGAGATTCTCTCTCCAGTTTTCGTATTCTTTTTAAAGTTTTTTTTTTTAGAAATTTGTTGAAATTATAATTTCAACTGGATTCTCAAAGATTTGTTTTCAAAAGAATTTCTCTTGCTAATTACTTTAGCAATCCTCTTGGCCAAGGGGAAAAGTACTAGGGGGTACAAGTAATTTGAACTTCATGCAATATGTCCGCGGCAGTCGCCATGACTACGATGGCTGGGCCAAAGAAGGGTGTAGGGGTTGGAGCTATAAAGATGTCCTCCCTTATTTTATTAAATCTGAAGACATACAAATTCCAGAGCTTCAAAATTCAGGTAAGACGATAATTTCAATGAGTGGAATACATTATAGTCATAAAATGTTATCTCGATTTTAAGACCTATAAGCATTTCCAAACAAATACTTCATTATTAGGGGGAATAAAATATTCTTTATTAACCCATTACTTACATACTTACAGATTATCATGGAAAAGGAGGTTATTTGTCTGTTAGTGACGGGACTGTCACTCAGCTATCAAATGTTTATTCCAAAGCATTTGAAGAGTTAGGATACCCCATCACAGACTGTAATGGAAAATCGCAAATAGGTACCTCTGGAATTTTAAAACTCTCTCTCTCTCTCTCTCTCTCTCTCTCTCTCTCTCACCTTTTTCAATAAATTTGTTATCGGTATTTTGAATACTAAAGACATCAGTAAATAAAATACAGTATGCATGTCTGGCAGTGTTACATATTTGAATTTACATCTTCAATATCTTACTTTGTGAATTGGGGGAGGGGGGGGGCTTATATCCTAAAAATAACTTTTTTGAACTTTGTTGCCACCGAGCGCATAGTTTTTTCCATTAACATATCTTCTTTTCTATGTATTGATCAAGGAAACAAACTGTGTAACAGTTCATTTTCTCATTCCTTTCTATCTTTAGTTTCCCTTCTGAAGTCCACTACTCATGATAAAGTTTATTCTTTCTCTTATAGGTTATTGCCCCTCTCAAGAAACGACAAAACAAGGAGTACGTTGGAGCACTGCTAAAGCATTTTTAAGGCCTGCCATTGGACGCCAAAACCTACATGTCTCCATTAACTCTCAGGTTACCAAGGTACATGTATCTGAACAGTGAAAATCTTTTGCATTTTATGATTTAGTCATTAATTAATAATTGCACCAAAAACAGTAAGTGTTCTCTTTGTTTCTCTCCTTTAAAGATTTTGATAAAAGATAAAAAGGCAGTTGGAGTATCCTTTGTTCGAGATAACAGGAAGTACGTCATAATGGCGAACAAGGAGGTGATTGTCTCAGCAGGTTCAGTGCAGTCACCCCAGATCTTGATGTTGTCTGGAATAGGACCAAAGGAACATCTCAAATCCATGGGGGTACGACACAAATACATACACGTACTTTTCTTTCTTTTCATTCTCATGAATTAGATTACAATAAATAAATAACTGTTATTTACTGCTACAGCATATTTCCCTTGCATTCCTTTTTAGATCCCAGTAGTTACTGATTTGCCAGTAGGCGAGAATTTACAGGATCACATTATGACGTTCCTGGATTTTCAGGACAATACTTCCAGCGCGGCAACTGAAGCAAAACTTCTGTCACCATTAACTATTTTAGAATACTTGGCATTTAAGTCTGGTAAAGCACTTAATGGATAAATAAAATTCTCGGAAATTTCAAATTTTATTTCAATTACGAACATAGAATTATGAATTGTTTGATTTTGCATTGTGCTCATATATATTGACTGGGCAAGTGTAAAAATATGGATAAATCTAAGTGAAATTGATAATTAAAAATTCCTTTAAAACCTTGATTAGTAATCTAAATATTTATAATGCCGGTACTTTTAAAAAAAAATATAATGCAGTTATTTTATACAAAGGGAGGTTCAGCAAGACTCATCTAGAGGGCACGGCTTTTTTCGCTGAAGATAAAAATCTCCCACCTCCACTTCAGTTTCACATCTTCAGCCTTGCTCCTGCCCCAGCTCAAGTGGATATGTTTTTAAATAACTTGAACATAGATAGAAAGGTATTTACGATTTCCTTTCTAAGCAGAATATGAAAGTAGTCATTTTGAAGCTTATAAATTTACCACTTGCATTTGTGATTTGCTATTACAACACATGTAACTTTTAATGTGTTTTGGAAGATGTTTACATCACTTAAACCAGGGCAAATGTGAGCTTTTCTGTTGGAAAGGTGTTTTCCGTCATTCTATCATACTGCCTTCTGTAAACTTATTTCGTTTCTACATTTTTAACTTTTTACCCAGAGCCAAAAATACTGTACATGTTTCAACCCATCTCGACTGAAAGCATACTTATTACTAGTACGTTGGCAATAGGGATCGAATTTATATCATAAAGATTCATGCTTTCTGTCAAGGAAAGCTAATCAGTGAATGAAAGAAATACAGGATACGTTGTAGAATGTGGGGAATTATATCAAACTAGTCAGTATTTATTTTATTCAATGTATGAAGCTTCGAGACGGAAAACTGGAGGAATTCAAAAGGAACTTGGAGGGAAATAGAGGGATTTTTACTGCGCTTCCGATTCTTCTTCATCCCAAGAGTAAAGGGACCATACGCCTTCAGAGTGATGATCCTTTCGATCCGCCACTCATTGACCCAAATTACCTTGATCACCCGGATGATATCAAAACATTTTTGAAAGGTACAGATCTACTAAGCAGCTACATTTTTTCATAATTATTATTTTCAAAATGGACAATAAATTAAACTTTGTTGGTTGTCAGTCTGTCAACCGACATAATACAATGTTTTTGTGTATATATTTACTTACAAAATGCTCGGAAGTTTCTTTTTACATATTCCAGGAGTTCGAGAGTTACTTAGACTTGGGGACACTGCAGCATTTAGATCAATTAATGCCTCCTCACAGGATCCATTGAAGTCGTACACACCTCAGTGTGACGAACTTAAACCAGATTCGGACGAGTACTGGGTGTGTAGAATAAGACATTTTACATATACAGTGTATCATCCCACATCCACGTGTCGAATGGGAGCAAAGGATGATACAACAGCAGTGGTAGATCCTGAACTAAGGTATTTTTGTATACTAGTACTTAGGATCATATTATGGGATTATTTCAATTAAATTATTGTTAAATAGATTTCCAAATTTGAAACAAAAAATTGGATGTAAATGTACATTGTTTTATCCGTTTAATGCTGCAAGGTTATAAAAAGTTAATATTAATTGTTTAAAAATATTTTTATATGATACAGAGTGAGAGGGATCCAGAACCTTCGAGTGGTGGATGCTTCCGTCATGCGCAATGTACCGTCCGGAAATACAAATGCGCCATCCATAATGATTGCAGAAAAAGCTGCTGATATGATAAGAAATATAAACAGTGTGAAATCTATTAGAGAAAGAACTGATAAACTTTGATTAATGTTGCACGAGAAACATTTTACTTGTAATGAATGGTTATATTGAAGAAATGCTATTTTATAGTTTTACTTGGGGGGTGGGATGTAAATTTTAAGTCTTTTCTTTGATTCATGTAGGACATACACAACATAGTTTGAACATTTTTGTCTCTTTCCATGTAATTCCAACACTTGAAGGAACTGTTTGTTGTCTATATTTTAATTCTACGTATGGTGTAGTGCATGTCTTTTTAAAAAAAAGTTTTGGTAAAAAAAAACAGCTAGAATATGTTCAGAACTTTTTTGTATATTTTTCTTTGAATCGTCCAAGAATTTACCTCAATTGATATCTTAAAAAAAACCTCGTAATGCACGCTGACGATTTGTTTGTAAACATCTTATGGGACTATAATTCTAAATTAAGAATATCCTGAAAAATTATCAGTAGGTAAGGTACGTTGCGTACGTCCTTAAAGTCAATAATCTCGATCATGAATTAAGGTACATGTGATGATGATTGAATTTAAATTGGATTTATGATGCTACGTATACATGTGTTACAAGACTATTTCATATTATAATTATATCACCAGGAATGCTCAATAAAAAAAATTCAAAAAGTAGATTTTATATTTACTGTACATTTTTGAAATAAAGTGCAATCCTATCTTTTATAGAGCTAATGCTTTAGTCATTTGAATGGTACTTAGGAATGTACATTCAATTTCAAAATAACTTTAAAGAAGGATATGGAGATAAAGAACAGTCTTCAATCTCGAAGTCCATAAAACAATACAAAATAACTTTAAAAATAATCCTTTTTTACCCTATGACCAATTAATAATAATCAGTTTGCATTATTTCTCTCTGAGCATTGGGTGTCACAATTCAAAAATTGGATTAAAGCGACTGGTAATCTACACCAGCTTGCTACGACTAATCATCAACAGCCAAAATTTCTGAGTTTTGTCGGTTCTTCCAAAAGTGTTTCGAATTTTCCTAGTATATTGAAATACGCATCGTGATGACTATCCTTGTTCGATCAACTTGTTTTAAATAGCTTGTCCCGTTTTAGGAATTGTTTGGACGTCGAGCATATGCTCTTGCATATCTTTACAACAGTTTACATTTTACTGGTGAGTAAAAATAAGCTCATAATTTGAGATCTATCTTTGTGAGAATTTTTATTAATGATGACGTTTACTCAGGTTTCAGATAACAGAAAGGAAATTTTATAAAGTATAATATGTTAAATCAAAAATTGTTCTAAATGGATATAATAAGTAAGTTTAAAATCGAAATCAATTTAAAAATTTAATATTTTATTATTTAAAGAAAATATACAGGTACAAAAGTCAATGTATGGTAATGCAGAGGAAATTCGGACTAAATTCTTAATTTTTCATTTTTGTCAAAAATTTTGATTTCATTCAATAATAATCACGAAGTAAAGGTTAAATATATTTTTAAACATCATTTTGCAAATATTATTTGTGTTAAAGCTCATAAATTATTTCATATAATTGAATGCTACGAAATAAAGAAATTCAAAAATATGTACAAAAACCATTCCAGACAATATATCTCAATAATTTGATCATTGACCCCATATAATATTAATACCATGAGAATTAGGGCATCAAAAGTAATCTGAGGCTATAGATAGTTTAGAGTTCTTATCAGTCAGATTTTTGTAATATTCGATTTAAAATGGGGAAAAAATATAAATATGACAGAGGGAATTCGGACTGTTATAATTATCACATTTCTGGCCCAAACTCCAATCATTTCTTTATATGAAGCAACGCTGTTCCACTGCCATAATATTTCATTATTTAAAGAGTTTAGTGGCTTGTAATATTTTGTGTGTAGAAAAAATTGGTCATAGTGTGAAAAATTGAGGTATTTCCCGAGAAATACTCAGGGGCCACTAGCATGAAAAGTAGGTCATTGACCTAGTTATTTGAAATTGAAATTTAACACGAGAATCATTGGTGTACAATGTGCAATAGGTGGTTTTTCGTTCTTATCCGTGGAATTTTTGGTCATCTAAGTAAAGGTATACCTTAAGTTTTAAAAACAAGTACATGAATATGCGGAGATAACGAACAGTATTCGAGCTCAAAAGTCCGATAAACAATACAAAATAGGAGTCAAGCAAACACGAACATCAAAACATCAGAGGATGGATCAGGTGACATGGAGGAGTGGACATTTTCTGTTGACCGGCCACACCCGCCGTGTTCTCATTGTCATGATTGCGAAATAACGGAATAAATCCTAGGACAATTCAGTGTATAAATAATGACCTATCAATAAGTATGAAAAAAGTCACCTAACAATCAGTATGAAAAAAGTCAGTCAGAGTTTGACTTTACAAAAATTCGCGAACTAATTGAATAACTTCCATAAAAAAAAACAGTATTTTGTTTCAGTGTTGATTATATTTTAAATCAGTCCTCTCCGATTTTAATGAACATTTATCACAGTTCTGTTCATGCACAAATCACGTGATATAGGCGGTCACGTGACCCCCTCCGTAGTGTTCTGTCACAGAAGGTGAAAGATATATATTTCTTTGCATGTAACTTAATTTTTATAACAAGAAAGTTAATTTATCAGAAATGGTAAAATCTCGGCAATAGAATGAGTGAATAAGACTATGTTTTCCAAAAATAAGCATGGAGACCATCTTGGGAGAGACGTTTATTTAAGGTGGATAGAGAATGGGTATGGCACGCCGATTGGTTCAAAATTATTTTCTGCACGACCTTAAACAAAAATTACACGAGTAAGTAAAAACTTACACAAAGTGAGGAAAGTATACACAAAGCTATTGAAATTTACACAAACTACAGAAAAACTACACAATCAACAAAATATTTACACGATATAGTGAGAAAATTACACAAACATAAAAACGAAAACTGCACGAGTGAGAATACAACATCGACATAATATACGACGCATCCTCATTGCGCACATTTCATTAATATTCATTAGAGAACAGCTCAGGGTGGCTTGGATGCTTGAAACATAAACCTATAAATTTATCCTAAAGGATGAGTAACGTGTTAGTAATATTTATTTAATCTTTTTAAAAAGGATTCAGTCTTTTAGAATTCCGCTAGACTCTCAAGAATATGTACTATGTGTTTTATGCATGTATAAATTTACACACAATCTTAAGTATGGAATATGAACACCCCCGATTAAAAACATTCTACACATGTATAAATAACGTAAAAGGGATGCATATTACCAGATGTGTGTTTAATTGTTAGATTTTTAAATTGTGTCATTCCTCTATCTTTGTCTATATAGCAATTTCTTTTGAAAGTGTAAAACATTGATATAGTAAAGGTCTTCATAAAATTAATAAAAACAGCATGTGATATAATACAGGGCAGTTAACAATAAATCAAACTCTTCTCCTCCACCACCCACTGTGTGTACGTCGGTAATAATTAAGGATGTGGATGCGTGACCTTTTCATATAGAGAGAACCCTCCCTGCTGGTGAAGGAATGAAAGACACCTGTACGCTAATCGATTTATAGTTATTTGACACATCAATAATACTTTTGATTAAGGATTACTAGCAATTCATACAGAGTTGCGATCATCTGGGTTGTGGAATTTGACAGAAAACTTTTTGGAAATAAACAGTAAAAAATAAAAATAAGGCAAATAATTGCGCAACTTTAAGTTTTATATCGAAACGATCAAATATAATTATCAATTTTTTTTTATATAATTATGTATGTGACAAAGTAGAACATGTAGTCTTTAATTTTGAACAATGTGTAGTGATTTCATAAATATCCATGTAAATGTAGAAAATTGTATGTAAATTGTAGTCGTTTTAGTTATGTGAATTTAAGCTTAATATATAATGTTTTTTATCGAGTTTGCTTTGAATAGGTAAAATGCATATAAAGGAGTTAAAACAATTTAAAATTATGACATACAGACACATATAATATCGGTATAGCATCACTTTTAATAGTGGGGAGGGGGTTAGAATTTTTTTTGACAAATTACCTGAAAAGTCTGATTGCATGACAAGCGAAAAGAAAGGCGGAAGGGGGGGGGGGGAGGGTCCAAACTAGAAAATCCTATTTCGTTGAGGTAGTGAGGCACCTTCAATATTCCACCTTCTTTTCGAAACACATAAGCATATATTACTTAGATTTAAACTACCAAACAAAAAAAGGGGATGAGGCTTTTCAGTGGATATTTACGATAGAAAAAGGTTATGTTTGCCAAAGAAAAGAAAACGAAAAGGGGGAGGGACATGCCCCTCCTGATGCTACTAGCTGAAATATTTTTCTATGAATTTAAGCGTACATGAAGTAGTCGATCGAAATCAGGATTGCAATTCAACCTAAAACTATAACGATAAATATTGTAATTTACCGTCCATATCCTGGAATTTGCGCTCGACCTAACAACATTTAAAAATTGAAGGTTAGGGGGTCAGGATATAAGGAATATTTACTGTTGAAAAGTCTATAATACTCAGAAAAAAGTAGGAAGGAGGGGGGACTTCTACAGGCCCGTTTGCCGATTAATTTCATTTTATGATTACTAGTATACAGTCATTTTCTTGTTATAATGGCCATAGATTTGGGTTGAAAAGTGTTATTACAAAAAACTTAAATTAATTAGTGTTTGGGAAATAATAAATCATTAAAAATTTTATGAATACGAATTCTAAATGTAAAGAGAATTTGTTTTCTTTGAAAATATTTGCAAAAATTGTGCTCTATTTGGAACATGATTTATTTGCATTTTTCAAGAATGATAAAACAAGTTTTATATTCTTTTCAATTATTATCAAACTGCAGTATCCATTCCCTTTTTATTTATGACATTGTATGTAGATGTATTTAGTAATTCACAATGTTTTAAAAGTCTTGGTGTGTCATTATGGTCCAACGATTTGAAACTTAAATAAATTTATAATGGGACTCCAATCGATCCACGAGCCAGGTCCGCCACTGATCATGTGTTTTTCCATAGCCAGGATTATTTGAGTAGAGTTTTGTTATTTCATTTGGACAAATTTAATTAACAAAAAACAAAAGCGCATGTACATAGAGTATATAAGTATATTCTCCGTTTATCTGGTCCTTTTTATTAAAAATGAAAACATTTATCAAGTAATCGCCATTGCGAATGAGGGCAACGCTTACAAGAAATATCTTGTTTTTATAAGTTATAAGTTTATAACTGAAAATATGAAATATCATGGAAAAATTCATAACAAAAAGTAGGCTACAGCTAGATATCCAACCAAAATTGATATCGGATATTTTATAAGTTTGGATACATATGTTAATAGAAATAAAATATTTTTATCTTTGACATTAAAAATACGTTGTGTACATCTAAGGTAATCCTCACTTTTTAAATTTAAAAATGTACACATTTGTATATATCCAGCCAACTGAATATTTAATTTCCTATTCCGAAATGGGGAAAAAATCTCCTCAAATGATTTTTTTTAAATCAAGATCCTTGTCAGCCGTACTGTAGTTCATCGTTAGGTACTTTTAGTTCGGAGTCGAGTGCATCATACTCAATGGTACTTTTTTTTAACCCCGCATTGTAGCACAAACGTACTGATTCATTCTTGTTACAATTTTTGTTCGGCATCATATAATACATCC